ATGACTCCAGCTTTTCGCAGTTTCCCGTATACGTCGGCCGCAGCTGTGGAACGCGTACGTATTATACCACCCATTGCGCGCGAGGTCGCAATATTTACACTAACCGCTTCTGCCGTTCAGTACGTCTGTTCCTGGAGGCATGAGTTTGCAGTCCTCCGTATAGAGCTCAGAGAGGCCCTTCATGTCGTTGTTCTTATAAAACTCCATGAACCTGTCGTTCAGTGCTTGAATTACGCCAGCAAACGAAGCTACGGGAGAAAGAAGTAAATTCACAATAGTTGCATATTCTGCATTACGGTTTTACCAACCCATTTTCACTGGTACAGTTATACTCCAGCAAAGTCGAAAGCAATGGAAATGCAGGTCCGCGGTCCCCCTTTATATAGGCGGCCGATGCGCGTCGTGAATTGTGTGCGCATGCGTTGTTGTCAGTGGTAAACAATCGATATAAGAGTTATGTATTGGAGGTTGCTCTTTTCTGGAGTCTCAGCCTCATAGCTTGCAAATTTACCCTCAATTGCTTCCCATGCTGCAGGGAAAAGACCAGATACTCTCAATTTGAAGCATATTATAGCAAAATGATAGAGCTATTACAAACCTGTAGGAGCCTCATTCCATGGACCCATGTGGCCATAGTCTGTAGATCAGTGCAACAAAACAACTTCACGTCCTTCAGTTTCCACGAGGACACCGGCTGCACGAGTCATCATCATGTGACGTGAATGTGATTATCACATGAACGAGTAGGGGTCTTACCCTCAGCGCAAAGCAGAATCTTGTAGGAGTGGATATGGTTGCAGTGGGTGTTGGAGTATAGAGATGGTGCTCCAAACTAGCATACAGCTGAGAAACCCCAGACACCTATATAAGGTTAGGGAAGGAAAATCTAATCTTATGAAAATGGTTGAAGATTACGGAAGTGATGTAGATTCCGCCCGTGGTGAGTTTGAACAAGGTTGTTTTCCACTGGAGTCTAGTGGCCCGCGGGCTGTAAAAGAGCTCGTTGGTGAGCTCAGGGAAAGTCTCACTCCCGAGGTAGGCTGTTATGGATGACTGAGGGATCTAGCCATAGAGATAAAGATTATCTTCAGTATTTCGATAATAAGGGATGATATGCTAACTGGTGGGTTTGTCTCCCACAGCATGTTCTTGGAGTGAAATGAAGTGAGGAGGAGTCTGGGTCGATGCTTGCCAGTTGGCCACTGAGAGGAGACTGTCTTCATTACCTCATGCTCCTCAAGAAGGCGCTCTATGAGAGGAAAGATTGAAGGTGAGTTTGAGGATCGAAAGGATGAATTTCTGGCTCACGTAGTCTCAGTTGTGGCACAATTTCGAAGAGAGAGGAGGTGGGAGTGAGAGTCAGACCAGCTGTTTTCGCCACTTGGAACATGACGCTAATTACAGGGGCTCCCTCTCTTACTGTCACCGTGATGACCCTACCTCCCTCCACCTCGACATTAACTGTAACCTGCAACAGCATTCCCATTAGCTCTTGGATAATATAAGACTGATTAATACACTACCGTTTTCGTAGCTTTGATGCTGGCTTTCTTTGTTCTCTTCTGTAAAACAAAAAGAGAAAAGCACGTCAGTATGAGTTTTTTAATTGCCCATTAAGGGCTTGTCATACCTTTTGTTTTGATGCGACCATTTCTTCCAAATCTGCAGTGAAGTGTATTATATATAATTATGTGAAAGTTCTCCAAAGTATCTGGGCCCTATATATACCTTCAGGCTGTGTGAGAAGACTGGACAGTGACAAATTCTCCATGCTTTCATCTTCTGCTATCTGATTGGTCGGTGGAGTCACGTGACCAGGTTCAGCAGCCCCGCCTCCTTCTGCATTATCACCATCATCAGTTTTCTCGACTGCTGCTTCAGCCAACACTGCAGTAGTTAGGTCAGTAGGCGTCTCAACCACACTTGTCTCTTGCTGCAAGTTCAAAGACGGTAGCTAGTCACGTATTGAGGGGCTTGTCTTACTTCAGTGGTAGGTGTGGCTTCTTCAGTGAATATAGTGGGAGGAGGAGAGGGATCTTTCACTGGTTCATCTGAGGAATCCTCTCCCTTTTCTCCTCTCTCTCCTCCGTTTTCTTCTTCTCCTTCTCCCTCGCCCTCTCCCTTCACCTTCTCACCACTCTCGCTTAGATCTCCGGAACCTGTAGGTGCAGCTTCATCTTTAGTGGGTGTGGTCACAATGGGTATGGCTTCTTTTGATGTCTCGTCTTCTTTTGAAGCTCTCACTACTGGTATATCTTGAGACGAGTCAATGGCCTTTGGCTCTAGACACCTCTGTATGGAAATTAACAGCACAAGCTAATATGCAAAGTCTAATAGCTTGCTCTCTATATTACTAAGGAACACGGCAGCAGTATGTGCACACTTACACCAAGCAAACTAGCCAATAGACAGGCTAACAAGTTTGCTAACCTGTAGCTCAAACCATTGCCAGAAGCCTTCTCCTTCCCGGCCTTCATGAGCCACTGTCACCACAAAATCCCTGGCAGTTCTTCCACTGTGGCACTGGGACAGATAGGCCTACACCATATAGTGGGCCAATTGAGTTGACAGTTTTATACTGAGAGACGTAAACTGACTTTCAATACAGCAGTGAAGGATCCGTTCTTCCAGTGACCACCGATCCACACAAACAACTACAAATCATCAGGCGGAAAGAGGAAAAAAAAGTAGCAATGAAATACACACAGTTCTGTAAGTAGTTGGGTCTTACCTGATTTCTTAACCAGAGAATGTAGCATCCGTTAGATTTGAGGTCCTGAAAACACAATGTACCATATTTTTGTAAACCAATAGAGTCAACACTGAGAGGTGTGTTTCATGCAGGCCCACCTTTTTCTTGGCAGGGGGGAGTTGGGTGAATGTGAGGCTGCTCTGTGAGGAGATACAGCAGTAGAGCTCTGGAACCGACCAGTTTGGAAACTGGAGTTGGGAAAATCAATACCCGGTGGAGCCCCTGGTAATTGAACTGGAAATGAAGCTCACTTTCTGATGGTCAAAGTGCTGGTAGGATTTCTTTCCTCCGAGACTTTTCCAGAAGTCTTCCTCTTCCTGCCCCTCAGCCACCAGCAGAGGCTTCTGCGAACTGCTCAGGATCTGCATGCATCAGAGTTCAGACTGTGTTGAAGGTTTGAGTGCTGACCCCAACAGCATTATTTTGATCACAGGAGAGCTAGTTCACTACAGAAACATGCAGGTCATTTATGATGCATATATAATAATTACTATAGCTAACAGCTTGACTTCAACATTTTCGCCCTTGATAATGAGTCCCTAACGGTCTCAGATTGTGTCTTTGGAACTGCATTCAACAGACCTGAGCCATGTAGAGTGCCCCAGTCCGAGTCTCCTCGGATGAGAGGTGCCCACTCCAGGAGAACAGAAGAGGAGGAGATGACAGGATGTAGCAGTGGGTCGAGCATAGAGACGAGCTGCTGGGCGGGACCTAGTCATACAGGAAACGATGTCACATAATTGAACGATGATGTCGTGTAATTTTACCTCCATGGCTTTGATGTGTTCCAGAGAAGATCCACTGACTTGGTAAAGTCGAGTGGTCTGGTGACCTGGTGACGATGTGCCACGGTGAGGGGAGGAGAGGAGAGGGGAGGGGTGCGGAGAGGAATAAGGAGAGGAATGCACCACCATTGTCCCCTTGAAGAAGGAGAGGAGCTGGAGTGGCTCCTGTCCCGATGGAACCAGCATCAGTGGCTATGGAGAAGAAACACTCAACGACAGAGATAATGAAAGGTATTCCTCATTTCAGGGTGTCTTTAGAGAGGGGTTCCACTGAGGTTACCATTTCTTTTTCGACGTGTTTGGTGCAGCTCTCGACTGCAGTCCAGTAGTCAGCCACTCGACTGCCGACCCACACACACAGCGAGGTCTCCACCCATGTGTACAGCGGAGAGGCGTGGCACGTGGTCCACTGGAACATGTAGACTCCGCCCGCTGACAGATGGGAAGAAGGGACGGGCGGTAGTGGGCGTCGCTCATTCCCCTCCACTCTATAAATCTGCACATTATGTGTGAGAAATTACAACGATAAAAAAAAAGAGTTTTTCTCTTGCACTGACTTTCATGTCGCTGGGATTGGTCAGTACTGTGGGTGTGATCAATTCAAGTAGGTTGAGATTCTTCAAGATCGGCTGGAAAGTGGGCGGAGCCAGGTCAAAGTTCAAGTTTGGCCAGGCGGTGAAGAGGCTGACAAACTGAAGTGTCTCGCAGTGCTGAGTCAGCACGGTGATGGGGGCCCACTTGGGGTAACCCTTTTGTACCAGAAAAACCTGTAACAAAAGGGTTGAAATCAGCTCGCAAGGAAATGATATGCTTACATACCTGACCGATATCCAATACTGACTTTTGGTAGTTCGAGCACCTTGTTGTTTGGTTGCCCCAGTAACCAGCTGGAAGCCACACCCACACTCTGTTGTGAGTGTCGAGGACGGAGGGAGTGGGAGAGGTCGTGAGGTCAGAGTGCGAAGGTGGGCGTGTCAGCATGGGTTGGAATGTCATAAACGTCTCGTTCAAGCTGCAAAGAAAATGGCTCACTAGTTGTACGTAACAACAAAACAATATACTTGTATAGAGTGGCAGTCTCCAAAGATGCATTGACATAAGGGGTGGAGCCTGCGAGCTTTGAAGCCACACCCGCCCCAATTGCCGACATAAATCCTCCAGACTCGTGCCCTTGGACCTACACATAACTTGAAAGTGAAATTTAGAACAGTGTGTGCGTTTTCAATCAGGCACCTCTTTGTGTAAGGGGCATCCCCCTGGTAGACAGTGCATGAGTTGCTGACAGTGCTGGTGGACGGAGCTAACGGAGAGCTCGCTGGCTTGCCTCCCCAGCCACAGGTACACTTGATGGAGTATAGGCCCATGCAGAGGCTCCTGGAGGGTTAAAGTAAAAAAGATTTTGCCGGTATTATATCTGTACCTTCAGAAAAATGAAGATGTCAGTTTCCTCAAAGTTGATGGTCTCTGGGGACATAATTTTCCGTAGGCTACCAGTCTGCATGGAAAAAAAAAGGGAAAAAAATCAAACTGGCACCACAAAAAGGTGCACCACAGAAATAATTTCGTGCCACCACAGAGTATTACCTTTTGTCTCCACACGGTGAGTCTTCCAGGCTCGTGAGGCTGAAGTCCCCGGAACTCGAGGGGAACTTGTGGTCCGGTGAGTCGAGGAGTACGCAGCAAACTGGCAACTCTCTTCTTCACACTCTCCCCGGCCTCCTTCTCCCAGCGTTGCTTCATCTGGGTCAGCTGCGGCGGGGACGCCCAGCCCATGTAGGCCGACTCACGAGAACCGACTTTCCCCTCAGCCGAGAGTGCAAACAGCTGTCTTCGTGCCCGATCGTCACGCACACTCCATCTCTTCTCATCTCTGATTGAAGCCTCGAGTGTTTTAGATGTGGGCGTCACTAGCTGGGAAAGGTGCGGTTCCGTCTCAACTATTTTTTCCAAGTTTTCGCTCTTCGACCGGTTGCTTGAGGCGTCTGTCGATATCATGAGTGGGCTGAACACCCCAGTCGAGCTTTTTCGTCGGAGTTGGGCGGGGCTTGGGGTGGGGCTTACTCTGGCCACTCCGTCGGTCGTCTCAGTCTCGTCACCTTCCTGAAGACGGCCGAGCGGCGGGGATGCGGGGGGAGAGGAAATTGAGCGTGTTTTGTTTGCTCGCTGCTGAGGTGGCGAGAGAGAAGGCAGACCGTCCATACGGAGCTTTTCCTCCGAATTACTCCGCAACGCCCTCTTCTCAATTATTGGCAGAGGAGCTATTCCATCTTCAACTGTTTCATCTCCACCACCATTTGTTGCAGCTCTAACTGTGTCACTAGACGTTGTGATCTTTGTCGAACTGTCTGACACAGTTCGAGTGACTTTCCTCCCACCACCAAACATCTTCAACTTTTCGCTGACACTTCCAATCTTCACCCTATCCAATCCCTTTCTCCTCACACCTTCTCCTACCATCACACCACCCTTACCACTAGCTGAGCCTCTCTCTCGCTCCATTCGAGTGACTCTATTCAGTACCTCCGTCTCTGACCCATCTCCCTCTCTGCTATCTGGCTGTTTGCTGCTGTTAGGACTCGCTCCAGACTCCACAGTGAGTGTCAAGTGTTCAGAGAGTTTTGTGTAAGTTTCATCTTCATCTTCATTTTCTTCGGGGACAACGCTCAATTTTCTTCCTCCCTCCTCAGACCCCCTTTCTTCTTCTTCTTCTTCTTCTTCTTCCAGAACAATCTTTAACTCCGCGTCTCCTTCCACGAGCTCATCAGCCTGTTTCAGATTCTGAATGTCCCCCCATTTCTTGAGTGGCGGTAACTCTAAAGGCTTCATAGTGTCCAACGATGCTGCTCTTTGAACTGGGTTCTTTGTTGATATCATGTCCTCAGAGGTTTTCGTGTCTACCTCCTTGAAATGCGAGAGTTCCTCTCTGCCTTTTGTCTCTTCTCCCTCCGTGCCTCCTTCTTTCTCTGTTTCATCCTCTCCGTCATTTGCTTCCTCTGTGCCTTTCTTCTCAATCTCTATTTCCGTGGAGTTGTTTCCTTGTTCACCTTGTCCTTCTTCTCCTTCTCCTGCTTCCCTTTCTTCTTCTTCTTCATCTTTTCCTGCCTCTTTCCCTTCTTCCTCTCTCTTTTCTCTTTCTTCCTCTCCAACCACTTCTTTTTCTTCTCCCTCTCCTTTTTTCTCGTTGTAGTTCTCACTAGTGTTATCTCCAAACTCTTCGAAAGTCTGGAGATCCAGTTTTTCAAATCCAGAAGAATCGACTCTGGTGGTGGCCTCATCTTCACTCTCCCCGGGTGATGAAAGGTCTTCCTCCTTGAGCAGTCTCACGTGAGTCACGGGAAACGACTTCTTTATGTTTGACTGAGGGATGAAATTGACGGTGACAGTCTCGTCTGGTGTTTTGAGGCTCTTTCTTGCCTTCTCCTTGGTTATTACAGCCTTCTCTTTGACAGGCCCACTAGAATTGGAGAGGCTTTATTTAGATTCATCAACAGAGGAAGAAATATATTCGACTTACTGTTTCTCAACCGGAAGTTGAGGAGGCTGTAGCACTGGAATTGTAGGGAGGGTGGGCGAGGGAGGAGGGGAGGGAGTGGAAGGTTTAATTGGTGGTAATTGAATCTCTCCTGTGGTAATTGATTTCACGGGTAAAGATACCAACAAATTGATGACGTTAACTAACACATGAGTATAATTATGATTACCATAATCTGCACTCTTTTACTTTCTAATCAATAAAACATGCATTCCCGTCATTTTTCGCATGTACTTTTATGAGTTCTAATATCTCGTGTTACCTCTGGCAGCTGCCAAGCTGTCCTTGAGGGCTCCCTGGACCAGATCTTCTGAGATCATGTCGTAAGGTCCAGACTCACTACCACTCAGTCGTCCCTCCCATCCTCCAGTGTAGGTACCGGCCTCCATTGCTGCCAACTATGTACGGGGGAGACAATGCAACAGGAATAGAACCTGTTTTACTGGTTCAGCCACAATGGAGTCTTGCATTGGGCTCTTTGTTTTAACCCTTCACTGATGATTTTTATCAGGGATGCGTTTCATTACAATACAAATTTGCACCCTGTGCTCTTGCCTTCATTTCTTTGACGTGTTGTTGAGTGTCCAGAGAGAGCTCTCTACCAGCAGCTGTCACATCCTCTCTCCCTCCCTCCTCCATCTTCTCTTCCACCTCTCTCTCCATCTTTTCTTCAACCACACTCTCTACTTCCTTCTTCTTGGCGGGGACCGGTGGTAGTTGCTGTTTCTTTTTCCCTCCCTTCTTGCTGAACTTGCGGAGAAACTTTGCCCTTTTAGGAATAGGCGACGCTTTGTGAGTCGTTTCCTTGGCGACCGAGAGTCTCTGTTCCGTTCTGACTGGTTTCGGTTCCATTCCGCTAACCTCTTGAGGCTTGTCAACTTCAACTTCTATAAGTAGAGAGAAGCAGTAGCGAACTTTAGTAGGGAAACAAATGGCGCATTCTGTAGTTACCTGTTTTGGCTTTCTTGGTGTTAGATTGATGATCGGCAGATGGGACATCTGAGTTGTCCCGGGACAGTGCCGGAGGTCCCTCAAACAGGGAGGGGCTTAGCACTGGGCGTGGCTTGTAGGACGTCATGTCCTGAGAAGCAATACAGACATTAGCAATTACTAGAAATCTGCAAAAGTTGCTTTGCTCTTCCGAATTTCTTCACCTAGAGTTACTAGAATGCATTTTGGTGGTTCAATGTCGGTTCACATGAACGTACCATGTCATCAATAGTCTTGGCGGACGAAGGGGCACGTCTGTTGGTGGAGTGGCGGGATCGGGTGGAGGAGGGCGGGGCCGGGGCGGGGCGGCACAGGGGGTCTCGGTCGAGGGAGAACGTGGAGGGAGAGGCACCCACGTCCCCATCCAGCAGCATCTTCAGTCCTGGCTGAGGCCCTGCTACCTGCAGATCAACACAAGATTACCAGAAGAAAATTTGATCCAAATTGTGTCAGATTTTAGATTTTGCTAAAAGGGTGGATTGCAGAAAACCATTTCTTCGGGGAAATATTGACAATTCACAAACACACGCACGCACACACACACAGAAAGACTTACGGCTTGTTGCTGAGCATTGGACCACATGGCCTCCCTCCTCTGCTCGCTGACCCCTGTCATTAGCGCTGATTCAAACTCCCTCTGTTTCTCCAGCTCTGCTGCCCTACGTTGCTGCAGGCAGAAGAATACTTAATGCACGTCGGATTTCCAACTCTATGACCAATGTCAAAAAGAAAGCATTACCTATGTTTTTTTATTGTGTTAATAAGTCGATAATTGAACTGCATTGCTTGGATGGCAGGTTTAATTTAAAGGCAACAACGGTGCAAAAAGCTCTGTTGCTTGTTACCTGTTGATTATCAGCAGCTGAAGCTCTAGTCATGCTGTGTCTAGGTGTCATGGAGGTCTGGAGGGGGAGAGGACGAGAGAGAGAGAGAGAGAGAGAGAGAGGGGGAGAGGGGAGAACAATCATTGACAACAGACTGTGGTTGCTAAGGAAGCTGGACTGAGTTAAGAAGTCATGATACGGCTAATACCAAGCCAAAACTGGTACATACATCATTTCCTGTCTCATTAATATGGCCGAACCCAGACTCTGTTGAAATTGGAGGTCCACATTGTTTGGCAGGCATCTCGGTTTCAAAGGCGTCACTAGAACAGCAAGTCTGATGTTACAAATATGCCCCAAGCCACGGCCTGACGTACCAACCGAAGGGAATTTCGTAACTGGATGGCCTCTCGGCTTATCCCGATGAGCTTGTTACACGTTAAGCAAGGCCCTGCGTTCCAACCCTCCCCAATTATAATGTGATATATTGCTGCATTCAAGCAGTGTCCTTGTGTGTATTAGTCTGTTAATTGAGACTGTTGCGCAAGCCCATCCTATTCTATTGCAGAACACTTACCAAGAGGGATGGGGAGATGGTTTTGAAGAGGAGTTGGACACATTCGTTGTGTTGGTTGTCTTTGGCGAGATCCAGTGGCTTTAACCCCTCGTAATCTTCTTGATGAGTGGGGACACCTCGCTGGATGAGGGCTGTCAGCGTGTTCACCTGTGCAGGTATGCCGAGGAGGAGAGGGGTGGGAGGGGTTAAGGGAAAGACAAGGTAGAAGAAGAGGGTTCAAGAACAAAAGAGAGGAGATGAGGCTAATGATAAATTGAAAGTAGGTGGAAGAAGAAAGAAATGGGGGCATGCATGTACGAACCTGTCCCTGTTCCGCGGCGTCATGGACCGGGGTCCCTCCAAGGTTGTCTTTATCCAGTGCAGATCCTCCGTTGTCCAGGATCCATTCCAGCGTCTCAACCTACGTGGACGACTAGGTTTTAGGGCCGTACAAATGAACCCTCATTTGTGGGTGAGTGTTTTAGTACATACCTGACCACTGGCAGCTGCAAAATGAGCAGGGGTTGCCCCGTCCTCTGCTGGTTGCCGTACCGACACACCTAGAGACAACAAGCAGCACGTGTATCCTCTGCCCCAGGTAATTAGGCCGAGCAGGCAACCAAAGAAGTTATAATGAAATGTACCCAGGCGAAAATTTGTGGCCACTGACCCATTAAAAGTTTAATCATCATAATCGGATTAGCACACATAACTAAGTGCCACTAATTAAATATCTTGCACTGGATTAATCACCGTAGTGTGACACTTTTCCCAAACCAGCAGCTTATTACATTCTCGCATTAGTCTGCCTTTACTTCCAGGAAAGCCTCTCACAGACCTCATATATAGCAGATCACAAGGCCAGTGCCAATACACAGGCCAAGGAGCTACTGTATATGTCAAAGAGCCTGCTGTGCTTTATTAATGTGAACCCACACATATATTATATTATAGACCAAGTGTGGTGTTCACTGATTTGCTGCATTGACCTACATTTATACTGATCAAGTACAGAGAGAATTTGATTAAGTTACCAATGGACTATTGACTGTGGGCTCACACAATCATACAGACCAAGTATAGAGTTAAGGATTTACCAATGGATTTGAGGAAGGTGAGACATGGAATGTGGCCAGCCTGAGCTGCAGCGTGGATTGGAGACATCCCATCTTCTGCCATCATGTGAGGGTCGCCTGACGCATGGTTCATCAGCCAGTGCAGACATTCAACACTACAGAGCATGCATGAGAGAGAGAGGAGAGAGAGAGAGAGAGAAGAGAGAGAGAGAGAGAGAGAGAGAGAGAGAGAGAGAGAGGAGAGAGAGAGAGAGAGAGAGAGAGATATAGTAGTAGAGCGAGAGAGCAAGGAGTATAGGTTATGGATGTGTACAAAATCAAATCAAGTCATACACTCATAATTACTTATCCCACACACCCCTCCTCTCCTGCCTCCTTGTGATCAATAATTGATACACTTGTCAGTAGAGCTTCAACAAACACACCCTAACTACAGTACCAGGAAAAGAATAACAATTATAGGTATATCAGAGGCACATTGCTGGGAAATGTGTAGTTGGGGAGTATTCCTATATAGGCTCATGTTTCATGACTAGGAAACCAACCTATAGACTTACAAGTCATGATTCGGCCAAATGTTCCAGGAATTTCAGACATACATCCTGTGTATGGTGAGGTGGACCCAGATGCCTGCTATTGTGCAAGTTTGTTTGAATCAGGAATTGGCAGTGGCTTATCTGCAGTGTCTAGCACTGTACTGACTGTATATAATTCGTGACACTTGCTTTTTAATGGACCCGATCTGAGCCAAGTCACAAGGTTTGATCAACAGGGAAAGTTGAACCCCAATGCAGAAGTCAAACTTCCCTTCATTTATGATAATTATGGCAAATCAATTTGCAACAAACAACACATACAGATAAATAATGCACAAGGATGTGGACACACGCAAGTTATATACACATCTGGTTGATTTCATCGGGAAGTGATAGTAATGGCTGGAAGTGTTATATAGTCTCCCGTGTCGTCACTGCTTTCGCTGAACCGACTCTGCCTGAGCCGGCCTCGAAAAACGCTCTTCGAAGCTTTCCTCTCCCCGGGCTTCACCCAGCCACCAAGGACCATTATCTCATCACGTGTAACAGCAACGGCAGTGCTGTGACAGACGGCGTACGGGAGATCGTCCACCTTACGCCACTGAAGAGTACTGGAATCGTAAGCATAGATTGAGCTGTGTACATTGGCTGAGTAAGGCCTCTCAGAGCCTCCGAGTGCCAGAAGACAGTGGTTGAGACTGACGGCTGTGGATTGGAGGTGGGGAGTGGGAGGGAGAGGCTTCCAGGATTTCGTAGCCATCCAAGAATCGGACGTGAGCGAGGAGAGGGACGAGGTGTAGACGCGAGAGGTTGCGCTGATTGCAGTCTGGGCTCTGTAACCACCCATTAAGTACAGGGTGTTCCCCTCCACCGCGGGAGAAGGGGAGCAGACGGAGGCGAGACTCGGTAAATCGCCGGTGACGGTCCATCGGTTTGAGTCGATGCACAGAACCTCGATGGAGGAGAGCGTTACAATATCCCCTCTGCAGTCCCGCCCCAGGCCCCCCATTGCCACGAGACTGGAGTCAGACTCGACAACTGTAGGTGAGAACCGAGGTGTGTTGAGCTGAGCGGCCGACTCCTTCCACTGTTGGTTGTACGCGTCAAACACAAACAAGTTATCCGATAGCTCGTCGTTGTGGACTTGTCCTCCGACGGCAACGAGATCCTGCGCCATTTTCCCCAGACCAAAGAACTTTACTGGGAGTGGAGGCATTAGCTCCCACGTGTCTTCGCTAGGGTTGTATTCAAACACATAAAAGTCGCTCGATTCGTTTTCCGTCATTCCTCCTCCGATGTACACCCGTCCGCAGACTATCGTTGCTTGGGCTCTGTACATGCCAACTGGCAACTCTGCACACTTTTCCCAGTCAAAAGTAACCTGCACACAAAAATAGAGGGAGCCAAGTTGGTAATTATTACTTAACAATAGTGCTGTCTCCTGTCGTGGAGGAGTGTAATGTGTACTGATAGGGGGCAGACTTGTAAACAAATTGCACGCGTGACAAGCTTATCCTATCTACTAACAAAGAGGTCCATGTTTTTGTCTGGCAAATGAAGTACAAACTTATGCCAAAAGAGGTTTGATTCGATGGGAATGGAGGCTGGGCTGCTAATGTCTGTGCATGTGACAACACACACACACACACACACACACACTAAGAAGACAAACAATCTTACATCATCAGGAGTAAGAGGCTGGGAGAGGAGAGATCGGGAACACAAGTTGTTCAGGTGGACTAGATGGTCTGGTGTGAGCGAGATTCTTCGCAGACTCTGATTCTGCACCGAGAGCCTGCGACACCTGATCTGGAGGTCCTCGAGCTCAGCTTCGCTCACCGATCCGTAGGCACTGTCTGAAGTGCTGACCTGCGTGAAAAACTTGCAGAATTTCCTCTTCCTCTCTTTCTTGAGACTGGTCAGGATGTCGTGGTGTGCCGAGCTCTTCCGAAACACGTTTCTGTGCGAGGCGGCCTGCTTGCACAGCATCGGGGATATTTCCCAGATTTCAGGACGAAGGAGAGGCTGGTTTCTCAAACAGTGAAGAATGGTGTCAGTGATTGGGTGATTCGTCCCGAGATCGTTGATGTAGTCTTGACGAATTTCAGCTTGGGAGGAGGCCCTGTTGGTGGACAGTGGAGGAGAACCCTCTTCGTTATCGCATCTCCCACTGGTTTGTTTCGGGGTGGGTTGACGCCCGGTGAAAGTGTGGAGCATCACGATTCCAAACGAAAAGACGTCGACTTTCCTGTCGAACCTCTTGCAATGGTCCGTTACTTCGGGCGGGAGGTGAGCGCGTTGGGAGGCGACCATATTCCTCTCCTTTACGCGGAGATGCGAGACACCGACCTGGGAGATTTTAGCGGTGAAATCTCTACCGAGGAGGATGGATTTTCCCGATAGGTCCCCGTGGACGAAAGACGGATGCTGCTCGTGAAGGTAACGCAAACCCAGCGCCACGTCGCGGACGATGTTGTAGCTGATTTCGTTCGGGAGGACGCCGTGTCTATCCACGCAGGCAGCGAGCGAGAACGGTAGATACTCGCTAACAATAAGCGGCGGAGAACTGTCCCGCGAGTCGTAGCTGACGCCGAGAAACTGCAACAAGTTCGGGTGGCGGAGCCGACCGAGGATATCGCAAACATCCACGACGCGCTGGAAAAACTCCGATTTCTTTTCGTGTCCGTCGTAGCTGAGCCGCAGTCCGGAGCACTGGAGGCCCTTGTAATCGACCTCGATGTCCGTAACGGTTTTCGCCGCCGCGCCGTTTTCCTCGATCGTTTCTACATCCACGCCTTGTATGAGGTATGGATGCAGACCCTCTGCCACTTCTGACAAAACTTCCGCGTCGCTTGCTCCTCTCGCTAACAGAGACGACATTGCTGCGCAAAACCAACTCGCTACAGCCCGCCCGTTTTTTTATAGGAGTTTGACTCCGCAAACTGCGCATGCGCTGAATGATTCTTCGTGCACTCTCAGCAGCTCACCATCCTTCCTGAGCGGCGAAGTAGACAGCCGTAGCTCCGTGAACGGTCTTCTCGTTTGCCATGTACAGATGGTGTCTTGTCAACCACTGCAGACACTCCAAATGATCTGCAACCAGCAAAAATAGACGCACACATGGGTGTCTAATCATCAGCCCCACCCCTCTTGTTTACTAACTTACTTTTCGCGGCGCAGAGGTGGACCGGAGTGACGTCGTTGGCTCCCTTTTCGCCGGGACTAGCTCCCGTGTAGTCCATCAACCACTTTACCACTTTGAGTCGACCGAATCGACACGCCATGTGCAGCGCCGTCGCTCCCTCCACGGTCGCGTCTTTTGACGAGCACGCAGTGTTTTCCAGGAGGTAGTGCAGGCAAGCCAAGTGGCCCATGGCCGCCGCGTCGTGCGCGGCCGTTGCCCCGTTCCTTGCTACGGCGTTCGGGGAGACTCCACTGCGCGTCACGAGCCATTTGAGGCACTCCAGGTGCCCGTTCCTCGCGGCAAAGTGGATGGGCGTGGCACCGAAGTCGTCTCGCTCGTTGAAGACTCCGAGCTCGCGGTAGGCGGTCGCGAGGCAACCCGCGTGGCCGAGTCGCGCAGCCATGATGGCCGGTCGGTTCGCGTGCTTGCACTCTCGACAGATGTCGAGTCTCTTTCTCTTTCCGACAGGCATCTTTGTTTCAACGCCCGAAAAACTAACCAAAGTTGGGCGGGGCTCGCGTGAGCATGCGCGTAAGTACGTACGTACGTACGTATTGGTGACGCATTGTTTACAGTGGGCCAAAAAACCAATGAATTCAGGTTTAGTTTGAACTAGGGTGGTTTACAACAAAAGAGACAATATTTACAACACAAACTGCTGAGATGATAATGGAGCAAACACAAGTAAACTTGGTGTGTGACTGCTGAATGTCCACCTTCAGTTGCAGAGCTAACACAGTACATAGCAATGATGCAACATGACAGCAGACACAGTAGCTATCTGCGAACTACCGAAGACTCCTTCCCATGTCGTACCCTGCACAAAAACAAAAAACATTTCTAACTTCTCAAACTATAGAGTAAGGTAAATTGTCCTCAAAAGTGAAACCCAAGCAGCAAAAGGTTGACCCAGAGAGCAAAAGATGGAGTTTTTCACCTCATTCCGAGTCCTCTGCCTATTTTGTTGGGTATTCTGAAGAAGTACTTGACTCTCTCTTGGATGACTCTGCGCGATGTTCTGTCGCCAATCGTTCTGCGGTTGAATTCCACCATTCTTCTGTACACCCGGGGAAACCCATAGCTCTACAATCCAAGAACAAAAACGTCATGGGTCAGTTTACATCATCGGGGCCAAATTGCAGGTGGAAAATTGCCAGTTGCTTACCCTCCCTACTACGTAGAGGGCCGTCTTTTTCGCCAAGGCGACGGCGAAGATCGTCCACATTACAGGAACCCCCATCCCGAGACTGCTCAGAACGCTTGTTGTCACTCTGTGGGGAATGAATGAGAGCACGTGCGCATAAACGACTCACACAAAGTCTCTTCAGCAGAGAAGGGCGGGTGTAAAGAGGCTTACACACGAGTCCTGTAGCTGCTGGTGGCTTTCTCGCTCCCTTTTCTTCTGTCTGACTCAACGGACAACGTTGCTGCAATAACAAGCTGCACCTTGACCCTCTTCCGCCCCTTCACACCCACTTTCTAATCAGAGCGCACCGTACTCGATTCCATCTGACGCGCACCTCAAGAATGGGAGTGAAAGACCTGTGGAAGCTACTGGAGCCTGCTGGGCGGCCTGTAAACCTCGAGCAGCTGCAGGGACTCGTTCTAGCCATAGGTAAGAGTCGGTCACACACCTCAGTGTCCCGCCTTCATCTTAGGACATCCTCACAGACGTGAGTGTGTGGCTTCATCAAGCCGTTCACGGAGCGAGAGACCGCGCGGGTCAGCCCCTGCAGTCTGCACACCTCGCCCTTCTCTTTTCTCGCATCTGCAAGTTGCTCCACTACCAGATAAAGCCGGTGTTCGTCTTTGATGGAGGAATACCAGCACTCAAACAACAGACCATAGTGAGTAATACTTTACACACGCACACACACACACTTTATCTCTCTCTTCTGTCAGGCTGCTAGGAGCAGAAGGAGACAGCTGGCCGGCAAGAAGGGAGAGAGAGCGGAAGAGAAACGGAGGTCAAAGTACATGCAGGCAAGGATCCTGCAGCAGCTCACAGGGGAAGGCTCGTCAGCATTGCCCTCACGATCATCGTTGAGTCAGCAAGACATGTTTGACCTGCCTCCTCTGCCTGAGGACGTGTTCAACAAAGATAGGTATAGTCTATTAGTAGGGTCGGTATGAGCAATGCTCATCCACATTTTAAAGGCAATCTTTTTGGGTAGCAACCCTACATTACTCTATGATATAATGGGCAAGGATGATCTAATTTTACCAATATGTTTTCTCTCTTAATTTTTTTGCTCTTTCTCTATTCTGTATATAGGAGTCCAGCGTTTGTTGGGACAAGCGATGCCTCGTTTGTGGAAGACGTTGAAAAAGTCGACGTAACCTCGGCCGAGTTTGCGTCTCTCCCTCCCGAACTGAAACACGAGATATTACAAGAGAGGCAGGAACTGGAGAGGCGCACGAAAACAGACCCCGGCACCCTGCCTGACGTGGCCAGTGATTTCTCAGACTATCAGCTGGGGAGACTCATGAGGAGGAGTAGACTAAGCCGCCAACTGGAGGATGTCCGGCATAGCCTGAAGGAGACAGGGAGTGAGATTATCGGAGGTCAACTGGGGTCGTTTGAGGTGGAGGCTAATCGAATCATGTCCAGTGATTCCGCCCACTACATTCTGGTGAAGGGGGTCGATGTCGAGGGGTCCAACAGCCAAGACGAATTGAATGATGTCGTGGTTGGTAGAGATGATGTCGCCGGTAATGAAACTTGGAACTCTGCCGAATTAGATATGGAGGAGGGAAGGAGTGATGTAATCGCCTGTAAGAATGATGTCGTGGCTGAAGTAGAGGCTGAAGTTGTGGCAGAGAAAGAAGTGAAGGGAGCAGAAGATGTCTCTTTCAACTCTCTCACTGCTGGTAGAGTGCCTACCTCCACTACCAATGTCGAGGATGATATCATCCACACAGCTCACAAGCATGCATTGCCAGAAGAGAAGAAGGAGGAAGAGGAGGGGAGAGAGAAGGTTCCTTGTGTCAATGTTTCTACCTGCGAACCACAACCAGCTTCAGGTCGAAAACATGCAGTAGTGGGTACTGAACCTGCTCTCACACCAACTGCCAAGGAAGACGCTATTGTTTCTCCGATCAGTGCTAAATCTCCAGTCAATGCTGAGTTACTAATCCCTCCCCCAGCAAGTGCTAACTCTCCAGTAAGTGCTAAATCAACTGAGCTGCAGCCTGCTTCCACCGTTGCTGAGTCTGATAGTGAGGTTCACCCACCAGAGGAGGTTGTCAGTGAAGAGGGGAGGGGTGAGAGTGGGGAGGTATGGGAGGGAGGGGTGCTGGAGCTCTCCCCGAGAGAGGCTCGGTCTAGACTAGAGGAGGAGGTGACGGAGCTGGGGAGAGAGATGGAGAGACAGCAGAGAGCAGCTGCGGCGATCGGCAGTCTTGTCTACAGAGAGGCCCAGGTGAGACCTTGTCTCTCTCTTGCTGGGGTAAAAGAACTCTTTCCTTATCTCTTCAGGAGCTCCTGTCACTGTTTGGTCTTCCGTACGTAATTAGTCCCATGGAGGCGGAGGCTCAGTGTGCCTATCTTGACCACACCCACCAGACCCATGGCTCCGTCACCAGCGACAGCGACGTCTTTCTGTTCGGAGGTCAGAGGGTCTACCGCCATTTCTTCAGTCAAGACCACCAGCCTTTGCTCTTTGCTGCTGAGGATATTCAATCTGTTCTCGGTAGGTAAACACTTTGTGAAATGTTGCATTATTCCGGACACTGTGCAGGGTTGACACGGCAGCGAATGGTCTGCCTGGCGTACCTGCTAGGTAGTGACTACACCCCCGGGCTGGATGGAGTGGGTGTGGTCAATGCCATGGAGGTCATAGGTCAATTCAGAGGGGAAGGATTGGACAGTCTGGAGAAACTAAAGTGAGGTCTAGCGTTACTTTGTTGAATATTGTTGAAATGTGGACTGTGTTCAGAGAGTGGCATTCACTCGTCCGAGCAGTTCCTGGACTTACCCTAACTAGCACTCTGGAGAAAAAACTGGTGCGTTTTTTTACATCCTTTCATTTAGCCATGAAAATCTCTTTTCCTCTCCTGTTTATTAGCGTACTTTGGATCTTCCAGACGACTTCCCCAGTAAGACTGTGTGGCAGGCATACATGTCTCCCGAAGTCGATACTTCTAATGAGCAATTTCACTGGGGGACCCCCGACCTCGACCTCATTAGAAAGTATCCTGCTACTATATTTACCAGTGACATCGTCGTGTTGCTAAGTATAGAAACAGTGTCCTGAACTAGTTCCCAGGTTCATGTCAGGACACGTGGGATGGAATCAGGACAGAGTTGACTCTGTACTTCTACCTGTCCTGAAAAGAGCCAGCGACAGAGAGGTACACGTGGACAAACCCATTTCAAGTGATGTCATGATGACATCATTTTATACAGAGGAGGATTACATCATACTTCACGCCGTCTCTCCCCAATGCCTTATCTTCAACTATCACCAGCAAGAGACTGAGGAATGTTGTTGCCAGAATAACTGACAGAGATAAGAGCCCGGATGTACCTGCCCCACCAGATCCTAAGAAATCCAAGATCACCATCAGTTCCTCCAGTTCTGATGATGAGTGGGAGAGTGTGGTTGATAGACGAGGAAAGAGAGGGAGGGGGAGGAGAAGAGGGAAAAGAGAAATTCCGGAACATTCTACTTCTTCAGCACATAATCTCTCGGCAAGCAGCAGTAGCAGCAGCGATGGAGACTAGAACGCTGAATAGTATTACGGACCCGTTTTTATCATGTACAATGTCACACATAAATGGTGTTTGTTTGAGTGAGTGAGATGATAGCTGAAAGTTATACGGTGAATGGAGAAGCAAGAGGTCTTGATATGTGCTATCTTGAGCCGAGGACGGGGTAAAGACTGTGTCCACGGTGGTTAAAAGTCATGAAGGCATCTCTGTTACTGGACATCTCGTACGTCCTGAGTAGACAAGAGAAGAGAGAGTTGGGGAATTAGTCTTTCAACCGAAAGACAAACCTCTTGTTGAGCTCCGTGGTGAGTTTTATGTCTCTGAATCTGCCAACCATTGTTACGACTCCCACACACATCAGGACACTGGCTAAGAGACACTCCGCACCAATCTGTAGGTGGGGAAATCACGTGAGATCCGTGAAGGCAGCTAGCTGGCGACTCACGTCACTCGGAAGCCCTGTGTATTCCTCCTCCGCTAACTTCAGAAACGATCGATCTGGAATAGCGAGAGATAGTTGACGGAAAGGTGTTTTCAAAGCGGTTCACTTACGCTGAACTGCAGAGTAGGCGGCATGGAATATCAGCAACAGACCCAGGAAGAGAAAAAGTTTGCTGAAACGAGCCATCTTTTTTCTAAATAAAACGCACCGTGCGCACGTGCCGCGCAGCCCCACCCACATATTGCTAAACATTATATATAATTATAGGAGGAAGAGATGAGGATACACAAATACATGACATGGCATATAACATGGTTTTCCTGGTCATTATATGACCAGTGTTGGCTAGCAGAACTGTCCCCTCTTGCAGATTGTCTCTTGAACAAAGGAGTACGTGAGGAAGAGAGCATAGATGAGGACAAAGCAGAGGCCAGTGAATGAGTTCAGTCTGTATCTGAAGGCTGTGAGAGTCCCCACTATTGCAATGAGGGCAAACATCAGTAGGAATCCAAACTTGGCATGTGGGACAATCACCAGCTCCCCTTCGTCGTACTTTTGCTGTAAAAAACAGTGCAGCGTGAAGCTATCTTGCTGCCCTTATTTCTATCTTGCTGTTATGTTCAACACTAGCATCCAAAAGTGTGAGAGATTCACCTGGAGTTCGTCATCCAGTAGGGGGAATGGTTGGCCCCTGTCAATTATGGCTCTGATGAGGAAGGGTAGCCCGAGGCCGAGGTTGATGTCAAACACATTGGAGCCTATGGCATTGGACACAGCCATATCTCCAAACCCATCTCGAGCAACTAGAATAGAGCTGATGGCATCCTAGCAAAACCAATATGGGTGGACAATTATCACTAATTGAGAGGGTTTTACTCACTGGGATGCTGGTACCGATTGCCACCACCACAAGTCCCATAGTAAACTCCCCAATGTTGAGAATACAGCCGACTCGAGCTACCAGCGTGACCATGCCAAAGCTGATTATTGCTATCCACAGTATTGCCATGGTGAACGCCGCTGTCACCACGTACCACTTGCGGTTCTTAGAGCAGTTGGGGATGGTCCACGTGTAGATGACGAGGTAGGGGAAGGCCAAGACAAACAGGATCCAGTGCAGTATGTACTTGACGATCCCCAGTTTCCCTTGCTCGAGGGCCTGTTTGAGACTGGGGAGGGAGGTCCTGATGGGAGGGAAGCACGGAATGAGAGTTAGAGTCTCCTCCTCTTCCTCTTCCTCCTCCTCCTCTTCTTCTTTTTTTTCTTCTTCTTTTTCTTCTTCTTTTTCAGCAGTCTGGAAAGGAATAATATAGTAGTATTACAGTGGAACCTCCAAATATACTGTTAAGTTTATCAGCCACCCATCACTCAGGTATTTGAGCAGGATCAGGAAATGATTATAGGGAGTTTTAATAAACATTTTCCACTATAGTATGATACCTTTTCTTCTTCTTCCTCTTCATCTTCTGCTGCGGGATTCTGATGTATGGTGGGTAGTGAGATGGGAGGGAGACCGTGTGCATGGGTGTCCGAGTGGTGAGGGTGGACACTTGATCGACGTCTGTTGGCCTGCAGAGACAAACTAAACCTCTAAAAATCTGACAATGTGCATGATCTACATTATTGAGGTCCACTCTGAACACTTTTGGCCTATTTATAGTAATCAGTCTACATCCGCCTCCCATACCATGCAGGTTATAGAGATCTTCCACAGCCAACAAAACACTTTACACAGTTACCTACTGTATGCAGAGGTTTATACGAGGTCATAAGTTGAGCTCACGATAGGTCCAGCCAGCTCTCCCCTGTGGGAGTGCACGAAACGATGTCTGTCGTGCTCGTCATGATGATGATGTAACGGAGGACCACCATTCTCCTGTACAGTTAATAAGTAAAATGTTTTTTGTTTGTTGGCTGTTGGTATATAGTCTTACAGCTGCTCCATAGTTGGTGACTGTTCCATCCTCGGCAGCGGCTGGGGTAGCTGTCAGAGATGATGTACTGGTCGCTGGCTCGATGCGGGATTCATTCCTACACACAACATTATCACATGCACACTTTGTTTCAAAACCTGGAGAATGCATTAGTTAAAACCTTTGTGAAACTCATTGGTATATATAAACGTTAAGCAGAGGATTGCATACCTGCACCATTGGCATTCAATCTTGGCAAGCAGTCTGAGAAGGTGGGAGTTAAACTTCATGATGACGATGTAGCCAATGTAGAGAAAGAGGAGGATGAGTGCTTCGTACCACTGGAACTTTCCGTCCCAGGCAAACACGATGAAGACGGTAATGGAGAGACCATAGACCAGCGAGTCTCGTGCGAGAGGACGCCAGTCCAGGGTCAAGACCTGACCAGACAGCATTGCACTCAGAGCTATGATGATGAGGATGTTGAACATGGCACTCCTGCACAGGGAATGTGTTTACAGAGAAAGTTATGGTGTGACATACTATATACACATATTATATTCCCTGGTTCACAAATAGTTATACACACTCTTTTGTACAAATACTACAACTATAACACACCTTCTTGAATTTAACTGCCCTGCCTTTCAATGTAGAAAATTGCTCTAGTAGTAGTATTACATACTCTACATGGGTGATTTTAGAAAGGCTCTGCAGCTCTTACCCGACTATAGTGCCAATACCAACATCACTCTGGACAATGACTCCAGCCACCGAGGTGAAGAGCTCTGGAGCAGAGGAGCCAGCTGCCATGAACGTAGCTCCTGCCACGTCTTCACTGAGGTCCAACTTCTCTGAAATGGCCTCCAGCGACGGCACAAAAAAATCATCACAGATGATAGCCACACCTGCATACATACAGTGTTATCACTCCTATATACTGTGAGTTAATACTACTTATTGGCTTAGATTGTGGTAGTGCGTACCAATGAAGAGGGAGAGGATGAGGAAGATGTAAGGGATAAGAAAGACGTAGCGATGGTTGGCCTTCTCAAAGTCACATCTCTCCCATGCAGCTCCATGGTGACCTGTGGAGTTACTGCCCGTAGATTGGAGAGTTCGTCCCGTGTAATAACTGTCATTTCCGCCGTCTGTAGGATCAGCACAGAAGCAGTTATGAGTGTATATACCACATGTGGACAAGTTCTTTGACTCACGTACCAGCGGTAGTACTCGGCTCGGTGTGGGTGAAATACGCGTAGGTTGCACGCACTATCAGCACCAGAAGTACGACTGCAGTCGTTATAATGACGCGTCTGCTCCATTTCCCAGTGCTGGCGCCCGCTCTGGTACGAATCTTGGCTCCGTACTGGCTTCCCTTTCTCGCCGGTGTTCGGGGTCGCAGCCTCATATTGTGCGGCATTTTCTCGTCTTCCTCTAACATGTACTATAAACAGTATATCGAATTACTTTGTGCAGATTACTCGTACTACACAACTTACTAGTGAGGTTGGACTCGCTTCTGGAAGAATGTACTTGCGGCAGTGACGTTCCAAGGGCCGGCGCCATGGAGATGGGGGATCGCGGAGTTCATTTTCCGCGCTTTCCGAGAATCGACCAATCAGATCACCGGCGCAGTAAATGTGGGCATAAGACATGCGCATACGCAGATTTGGTAAAGTATACTTACTTCCGGCGGCCGGCCGGTCAGCAAACATCTGCTTTTTGAAGCTCTCGAGGATCGAGCAGGGGATCATGTCGAAGGCTGCAGCTAAGGGTCTGGACTATTTGGTGATCGGAGGAGGTTCGGGAGGGCTGGGCAGTGCTCGCCGCGCCGCCTTGCTCGGAGCTAAAGTGGCGATCGTGGAGCACGGCAGGCTCGGAGGAACCTGCGTAAGACAGGGCTCGACTACGCCCCTGCATGGCAGCGTGCATGCACCCTTTTTAATACCTTGCTCTCATTTTCCCTTACAGGTCAACGTGGGCTGCGTCCCGAAGAAGGTGAGCTAGCACGCAACTGTTGGGCCTCTTTTATGCTGAAATTGATCGGTAGTTATCCTGTTACTTAGGTGATGTTCTATACCTCGTCACACATGGAGTACATTCACGACCATGCGGACTACGGATTTACAGTCTCAGACGCCAAGTTCAACTGGGGGTCAGTTTCCTTGTTTCGAATTGATACCCTTCATTATTTCACGTCATCAATCTCCACCATTAGCACCATCAAAAAGGCTAGAGATGACTATGTGAAGAGATTGAACGATATCTACTTTGCCAATTTGCAAAAGGTTTGTATGCAAAGTCACCACTTCATCATTATCGGTTTACAACAAAATTTTATCCCAACTTAGGACGCGGTGGAATACATCAAGGGTCATGCGACGTTTACAGGCCCCCACGAAGTGAAAGTTGGCGACAAGACTTATACAGCTGAGCACATTCTGATAGCCACAGGCACCAAACCTATCATCCCCAAAGTTCCAGGCAAGCCTTGATCCCTGTATACAGTATTGGTGATTGTGGTCTTTCTTCCTGCACAGGTCATGAGTATGGAATCACAAGCGATGGTTTCTTTGAGCTAGAAGATCTTCCAAAGTCAGTTAATTAAGTTCAACCATATTCAATTTTAGCGGTGCTTGAATAAAGAAGCCCAGTACAGGAATGTGCATTGGTGTAAAAATTTGATGTGTGAGCCAAATTCTATGTCAGGTGCATGGTCATGTGATTGTCATGTGACCCTGCAGGAAGGTGGCGGTTGTTGGTAGTGGCTACATTGCCGTTGAGTTGGCTGGAATCCTGAATTCTCTTGGGTCAGAGGTCAGTCTGGTGGTGCGCTACCACAAGTGCCTGAGATCTTTTGACGATGTGTTGTCAGACTCTCTCATGGAGGAGATGACCAACGCTGGAATCAAAGTTGTGAAATTCTCAACCGTGAGTTGACTATACTATATACCTTACCTTTGAGGAAAATAAACCTGGGAGGGATCATAATTTTGCCTAAAAGTTTATGAATACAGTATAAAAACTGCACAACATTGCTATACGTCTGACATCCTATTCTCATCATTGTGATGGTGTGCAGGTAGAGAAGGTGGAAAAGGCGGGGGAGACACTGACAGTGTCCCTGGCTGCAAACACTGAGCAGGGAGTGGCATCTGTCATACCCGGCGTCAACTGTCTTCTCTGGGCCATCGGTAGAGACTCAAACCTAGTCGACCTTGGAATTGACAAAACTGGTCAGTAGTCCTCTCTCCTCTACTGCCTCCTGTATCAATTAGGTGTCTGATTACCAGGGGTTGTCCTGGACAGAAAGGGGTTCGTTACAGTTGATCCCTACCAGAACACCAACATACAGAACATGTATGCCCTGGGAGATGTGGCAGGCAACAAACTCCTCACTCCAGGTATGGTACACTACCTACATACACACTGTGAGCATAATAATCTGCAAAACTTCAAAATATCACAATATCACTGGGAACATGAAATTGTACTGTAAGAGGTTCTACTGTATTCCCCCCTCACTCTTTATCTTCACTCTGACGTGCTATTACTGTTTTATTTTTTAGTTGCATGTTTTTCGGTTAACTCTCTCTCTCTCCCTGCAGTTGCTATTGCTGCAGGGCGGAAGCTGGCCCATCGACTGTTTGACAACCAACCAGAGTCAAAGATGAACTACGACGACATCCCTACCGTCGTCTTCAGTCATCCTCCCATTGGTACCGTGGGACTCAGTCAAGGCAAGCTAAAAATATAAATCAACCCTTCGTCAATAACATTGTACCGTATTTTGAAAGATATGCACTTGTAATAATATAGTGGACACTTGGAATAAAGGAAACTCCAACCCCCAGTGATGATTAACTAATACTTTTATTATATTGTGTATGTTATAGCCGAAGCTGAAAAGAAGTATGGAGCGGACAAGCTAAAGATCTATCGTTCCAGCTTCACTCCCATGTACCATGCCATTACGAAGAGGAAGACCAAATGCCACATGAAACTCATCTGTCTCCTGCCCAACGAGAAGGTGTGAAATGAGTGAAACCCTCTCATTAAGGAGTCCTAGTGCACTCTTAATGTACGGTCTACAGGTGATAGGGCTGCATATGATTGGTCTTGGCTGTGACGAGATCCTACAGGGTTTTGGAGTGGCAATCAAAATGGGGGCAACCAAGGCTGATTTCGACAGCTGTTGTGCCATCCACCCGACCAGTGGGGAGGAGCTGGTCACGCTGCGATAGACGATTTTATCTCTCTATGATTGCTATGGTGATTTTAGCCATAATATAATATAGAATGTTATTCGATAATTTTAACAGCTTCTATCGTATGCCAAGATGATTTGGTATTAGGTGTTTCGATGTTTTATTAATGAGAAGAAAGGCAAAGAAGTCAAGATGATTTGGTGATCTGGGGCAGTAAAAATTTCTTGTAGTCGACACTGTCTTGGACCATGACAAACAGACTGCTGAAATGACCGCATCGCTGAGCGACGTCCAACGCAGTGTCTCCCTGACTGTTGACCAGCTCTGGTCGGAGGTCGGGGTTCGTCAGTAGCAAGAGGAGAGTCTCCCGGGCGCGATCGTTGGACGACGCCAAATGAAGCGGAGTCTGCTTCCCGTGGGTCTGTGCGTTCACAAGAGCTCCGTTCTGAATAAGGAGATCCGCCACTGCCACTTTGTTCCAGCGACATGCACAGTGGAGAGGTGTCCACCCATCCACAGTCAGTGAGTCGACTCTAGCTCCCCGTGACAATAAGTACTCTGCACTCTCCAAGTGACCGTTGTAGCTGGCTCGATGGAGAGGTGTGTAGAGGTCAGAGTCCACGGTGTGTACGACGTCATCTCCACATAGAGTGTGAAGCTCTCGCAGGACATCTGTGGCTCCGTGCTCGGCCGATTTGAGGAAGCCTTCCCCCAACTGCTCCTTGCTCAATCTGGACACCTCCTGCATATGAAACCTTGCTCGCTTTCATCATTCTATGGCTAATTCTCGGCTGTTTTGCTCTTACGTCGGGTAAGATGTCGGCTCTTGTGAGGGTTTCTCCGTCGGGACCGCTCCTGTTCCACTCCTCTGCGTTTACGACTGCCGTTGAGTCGAACGCGTCGGGATCATACCCCTCAGCCATTTTCTCTTCCGCTATTCTAATAAGAGCTCACCCAGAGCGACCTTGACTACGAACCCTAGGCCTAAGAACTTTTGAACTCTACACGCAGTGTCTCAGTGCACACCCCCCTTCCTCTCCTACGCTCAGCTACTTGTAGACCTCATGGCAAGCCTTACCAACCACGTCAACGGCCGGGGACACGAAGAAGACGAGCCCAAGTTCGTTCTGGTGACCGGCGGTGCAGGATACATCGGTAGCCACGTCGTCCTCGAGCTCCTGAAGGACTACCGCTACGTCCCGGTGGTGGTGGACAACCTGGACAACTCCCATCCAGAGTGCCTTCACCGAATCGAGGCACTCTCCGGGAAGAAGGTGCCGTTCTATCCCGTAGACATGATGTACAAAGACGGCCTGAGAGAAGTGTTCAAAAAGTACAATTTTTCCTCCGCTATACACCTGGCCGGGCTGAAAGCCGTGGGGGAATCCGTGGAGAATCCAATGAAGTACTATAGAGTAAACATTGGGATTGCCCTCAATCTAGTCGAGGTAATGAAAGAGTTTGGAGTCGGAAAACTGCTGTTTTCATCGTCGGCTACTGTCTACGGGACTCCCAAGTACCTCCCCCTGGACGAGAATCACGAAACGGGCGCCTGCTCAAATCCTTACGGGAAGACGAAATTTTTCATCGAGGAAATGTTGAAGGATCTGTCACAGGTCGAGAACGACTGGAACATTGTCCTGTTGCGGTATTTTAACCCCATTGGAGCCCACGAATCAGGTGAAATCGGAGAAGATCCAAACGGCATTCCGGCAAACCTAATGCCATTCCTGACACAAGTTGCAGTAGGGAAGAGAAAAGAAGCAAAGGTTTTCGGTACAGACTACGCTACACGCGATGGTACAGGTCTACGTGACTATATCCACGTCGTTGATTTAGCACAGGGCCACGTTGCGGCGCTTGCAAAGCTGGAGGAAAAATGTGGGTGCAGAGCATACAACCTCGGGACCGGGAAATCCGTGTCCGTCTTAGAGATGATAGCTGCCGTGGAAAAGGCCTCCGGGAAGAAGATACCGTATGTTCTGTGTCATAGGAGGGAGGGAGACGTGGGCGAAATGTACTGTGACACAACTAAAGCCGAGACAGAGTTGAAATGGAAGGCCACTCGAAGCCTCGACCAAATGTGTGCCGACTCCTGGAACTGGCAGAGAAAGAATCCCACCGGCTACAAGACTGCATAGGGAGACACTTTCATTAGGTTGATAATCATCGAGGGACTGACTCGCAATTATTTATTTAATATAATCTCGTGTTCAATTTCTCCTATATATCACAAACAATAGTCGTCAGGCTTGTTGTGGTATTTGTTGTATAGGGGCCAGTTGACTAATGAAGGAGACGAGCCCCGCAATTAGCGAGGAGATGAAAGAGGGGCATCGCGGACTGGCACTCAGCTGGTCAGCTGCAAACCTCAGTTCAGAGAAACAGATCCTACAAGTGGGGTTGAAAAGACATCTAACACAAAACACGGATATTACAAAACGACCCCTCTCTATAAAGCACATTAAAGGATCCTCCCTCTCTCTATATATTAATTTCAAGTTACTGACTTGATGTAGTGGTTTCTTTTGGAGAGGTAGCGACTCTTGAGGAAGAAATAGTAGAGCAGTGGAGCCAGGAAGAACATGTGACCTCTAGAAACAGAGACAGAGATGTCTGGACACTCGAGTGGTGGTAGTCAAAGTGTAACACATTGGAATGTACTTACATAATGACATTCCAGAGGACCACAAGAAAGATGAAGATCTCTGTGTAGGCTATGAATCTGAACACATCTCTCTGACCATTCCTCAGTCTTTCATTCAGTCTCTGCAACAAACTGAGATACATAGGAAACCACACCCACATTAAACTTTATATTGTAGGGGCTTGACATTATAACAGATAAAGGGCGTATACTCTAAATGACTGCTAAACTACACCCCATAAAAGCAGTAAAGTATAATTATACCTTTGAAGTGTGGGTGGAAGGTACTTCGGAAGAGGGGAGGGAAAGGGGTGGAACATGGTAAGTCCAAACATTACTTTGCTTACACACTCACTCGTTTCATTCCGTCAGTGTATTTGTGTGTGAATATGATGGCATATAACAGAGGAGGGAGGAGGTAGACTAAATAGGGAGAGAGGGAGAGAGAGATCTTTACTTCTGAGACAGAATGAGACACAAGTCTTACTGGAAGTCGGGAACTGGTTGTAGAAGAAGAATGTATAGAGCATATAGTGGGCGCTGTCCTCGGTTGCTAACATGACATACATTTCTTTACTCAGGAGAGAGACCTGAGTGAAAGACAGATTGGAGAGAAATGTCAAAATTGAGCCACACGCACCTGTTGCTCTTTCTTGCGCTGGTAGAGTCTTAATGTGAACGTGAGGACGGCAGACATCATGCCATTGAGGTATGCAGTGTACATGAAATGTCCATATATCCTGTTGAAGATAAGTTAAGAAGTTTCACTAAGTATGGCACAGTGGGCTGCCACACAGTCGTACCCAAGGGAACAGATAACGAATGTGAAAGTTGATAGTATAGTGCCCATTCTAAGAGTGAAGAGAGCAGTTTCCACTATGTCGCTGGCTACATAGCTCTGTGGAGGTTAGAAATTTTACCCAATCAAGAGACTGAATTACAGGAGTCGGTAATTTACCCAGAGTGTGGATTTACGGCCTCTGTCCTCGTTACTTCCTGACATCTTTGACTGTTGCTCGTCACTTTTTCTTTTTGAAGGCTCCTGAGCAGTAGACGGAGTACTGGAGAATGTCAGCTGGCAGCCTCTCGCAACACTCGAGGAACGAGGCCAACTCTGGTGCACACTTACCCTCCTGGTAGCTGTTGGCTGGGTGGGGAGGAAGGTGTTGCGTCATACACCCATGAAACGGACATGGTAGCCGTTGAGAACTTGTAGCGAGCTGAGAGTAACTCAGTAGGTCATCGCTATATGCTCCACTCACCTTGCAAGCAGCTCTGTATCTTACAAGCCTCCTCTTTGCAGCGTTTTTCCGCCAACCGCTTTCTTTCTTCTTCCATGCACGCCGAAGAGAGTGGGCGGAGCTTCTGCACGGATTTTAGTTATGACGTCATTGATGGAAATTTACATCCGCATTCTTCTATTCTCAATCAGCAACAACGGCTCTCGGGGCAGAGATATGGTGGGCGGTAGCTAGGGCCTCTCCACTGCATTCCGCTTTTCCCAGAACTTCTCCGCCATAAAAAGCGTGCGAGACGTGCGGCTCCCGAGTCCTGGTGAGCTCAGCGAGTGACTGGACCGGGAGGCGCCGACACCAGATGGAAAATACTGAAGATGGAACCGTCGTGGAAGCGGGGCTGAGTCCTCAAGCTCTGGACACTCTTCGGTCGCTTGACAGGTACACTTCCCCGTTTCTGCGGTTTGTTGTCTTGTAAGAAGGTAGTAGGCTCAAGTGGACATTTTTCGTCGGTCTTTGGCGGTTCCGGTAAGGACGAGGGTTTGTTGGGCAAACTTTTGCGGAATTTCTCACCTTCCCCTCGATTAAAGCTTTAGAGGAGGGATCTGTGCCCCCTTTTAGTTAACTATGACATGAAACAAAGATTGCGTATGGCATTTACATTCTAGAAAGTGTGGCCTGTTGCTCTTGCTTGTAGCCTAATGCTAAATCCACACATTACTACATTGCCGGCTTTATAGTACGTACATTGGCTACGCCTAGTAGGAACTTGTCTTTGTGCACCCGTGACAGCATAGTGTACTTGACCCACCTACTCCACCCACAAATGGAGGTATGAAGTACAGCTTAAGGTGTGAAACACTAGTACAAACAAAGGCTAAAGAGAAAGCACCTGTACTTAATTGTACAGACACCCGTTAGTTATTCCTGGCAAATTGCATGCTGTTGCTGGTAAGTTTTTTCAGGCCTGGCCCCACACGATGTGTGGTAAGGTTGTACAGAGTGTGTCTGTTGAACCATTGCACGCCTTTCACCATGGCCTGTTAGTGTGTACTTGAACAGTAACAAGTCAGTTTCAACCACATCTCTTTGCTAGAGGTGATGATCATATACTTGAGCACCAAAGTCAGCATGCTGGCAAGACAGGAATTAAGAGCAACTCACTTTGCCTCAAATTTGTTGTTTTCACAAGTAACCCCTGTATGATTATCTCTAATGAGACATTTAGGGACTGCCAAGATCTTCATCTACATACTTACACAAACCATAGTGTTCTCTATGAAGAGGTATATACACCAAAGTTCCAACCAAGGCTCTTAGAATCGGATAAGAAGCCCGACCCCCTTTCACTCTTTGCATTGTTATATTCTTCCTGTTCTGAGGATTTTGAATCCCCTTCCTCTGAGAGCACCACTGTGGCTTGATACAGTTCACTTACAGCTCCAATCAGGCCATCATAATAGTAAAGTTGTAGCATGGACCCATCATACCCATACATTGAAGTTATGTGAAGTTATCTAATGTTGAATACCCTCTTCCCGTCACCCCCTGCAGTCTGTCATATGGACTGCTAGATCTACATCAGCCCAGCAGTGGAGGAATTGGGGGCGTGGCAGGTAGAGAGAGGCCCCCAGTTACAAGACATCTCATACAACAGGTATGCCGCTGTGACGATATTCATTTGTATCCATTGGGAGGGGGACCTGCAGTCAGTCATCGTGGGGAGGGTCTGATGTACTGTGGGTATATGTATCACTGGGGGGTTTCCAATGGTGCATAATGCAAATGGAATGTGTGAAGCTAAACTTTTAGAGTGTGTCTTTGTGCGTGGTGGTCTTCCGGCGTGTGTGGGGACTCATGTCGTGGATTTATTCCCCCTTTCCGCGAGGAAATCGACCACATGATGCACGATTTATCCCCGAGTCTGATGCACAGAATGAAGCACTTTACGTGCCCCCCCCTTCCTTCATTCTTGTGTGACATGTGGAATGTTACCACTCACTAGAGGGATGGGTTGGGCAGTTTGAGGAAAGGAACATGCTTCAGACGTGTTGTAAAGTGATTCCTATGTATATACTCTTCTGGGAGGTCAAAATATGGGTGGGGGGTTTCCTAGAGAAGACCATAGTGATATACACACCTGCTTACCCATAAGTCTGGAGTACTTACACCAGAACAGACATAGTTCAGAGTAAGTCTGTACTGTCACTCTGGCTATACTTATGGACACCGAAGAGTTCTGGCACCATCAAAGTAACCGCACCTGGTACGTCCAGTGTACACATGGTGGCTTACACATGTAGCCTTGCCCGGTGGCCAAGGCTACCCTCCTCCTTCACATGTTCTGGCTGCCCACATTTTCCTGTTACCCCACCTCTCTGTGTGATGCCACATCCATCAGCTCTTGTGTCTCTTCTTTGAGATGGTTGCATGGAGGATCATTTGGCCCCTCCCCTTAGGAATGGTCCGCCCCCTTTTGAATATTCCCCGTCTAAACATTTTAAACTGCCCTGCAAAATGTTGGTCTTGCACATGGTAAATACACCTACCCTTTCTTCTCTCCATGCCTCATGCATTCCCTCCCTCTCTCTCTCTCTCTCCTCTTCCCGTGTGTCACAGGGCGTCTCTCACCTAAGAGGCAGTGTGTCCAAGTTCTCCCACTCTCCCCACACTCAAGCTCAGATTGTCTCCCTCATCGCCCACCTCCATCTTCTCCTTGATGAGTTCACTCACGGTAGGGTACACATACTCCTAGCTGAAATCAGCAACACTTGTTGTATGCTCTACCGACAATAGCTGTGAGGCTCTGTGGACAATGTCCTAGTAATTGTATGTCTATCACATGCAACTTTGTTGCATGGAGGATCGTAGCCACGTGAGCTGCATTAGACTTTGCTTTGTTGCACTGCCTCTAACTTCTCCAGTTACTCCAATAAAAAGTGACCTTCCCTCTATAATATGAACTTTGATTAAGTTAATTATAATATCACATGCTCTGCTGTTCTCACTCATACTCACTTTCCTACTCATAGTCTTATTGTAGCCGTCTATATTTATATACCTCTCGGCTTCTTCCTCTCTTTATCCGCATTTTTCTACCATGTCCACAGCCCTGATGAATTCGCTCATGTTACACAATGCCTTCCCATTTTTATTAATTTTACTCTTGGCAGTGTGGGTCAACCCTCTGTGGTAACATTACCTAGGTTTATCGCTCTCTTCAAGCTTTTCCTCTTCATAACGTGTAGTAGTCCACATTTCTGGTAACATTAGCTGGACTTGTTGTTCTTTTCCCACCCCACACACACACAGCCTACTCAGCGTACAGCCAGTATTGTCGACTCTCTCCCGCCAGCGAATCCGACCCCGCCCTCTTTTATGGTCTTGGCATCATCCACCGTCGCCACGGGCAACACAAACAGTGAGTTGAGCTGTCTCGTTTCAAACACGCTACTCTCCCTCCTTCCCCCTTTACTGCCTCCCTCCCAGTTCTGAGGAGTCCTACAGGAAGGTACTATCTCTAGCTCCATCCTTCCCTCGCTCGGGTGAGGTACACCTGCAACTGGGACTCCTGCTGAAGAGAAAGAAGTCTTACTGCGAGGCGGTCGCTCACCTGGAGAGGGCCCTCAGCAAACCTGATCCTCAACAAGACAAGTTGTTGAGTATGTCAGATTTCCATTTGTGCCTCTTGTACAACTTTCCTTGTACCTTTGGGCTCCATGAAATAATTGGCACCTCTCAGAATGCAATGTTTGTGGCAATCAATGAAAAGTAAAATGAAGAGCATAATTTTGTTACGTCACTGAGAATAAATTCTGTGCTGCCAATAAGGAGTAAATTTCTGGTGCCACTGAGTTTTGACACTGTACTGAGAAGTGGCACCACACTGAGTTATTTTAAATCTCCCCTCTCTCTTCCAATCACTCCCCTCAGTCCAGTTCCACTTGGCCAATGTATGGGAACTGCAGGGCCAGACAGCTCTGGCCAGGAGGGCATACGAGGAACTCCTCAAGTCCCGGACTCTTTCCACTGGCCTCAAGACACTCACTCAGAAACAACTAGGTATAATTAGAACTTATTGAGCAACACACGCATACACGCACGCCCCTAAAAGAAATCTGCTAAATTTCTTATGGAAAAATTTCTAATTAGAAGCCTGAAGGGGAAATACTACAGTATATACCTATATAAGGGTTTCCTCCAATGAAAGCCCATTCTGTTGATGCTGGGTCTGATTCAGTTCGGTCTACGTGCTGAATGTCATAGACAAAAGTCTAGCAGACTCAGTACTTCCTTTCTGCGTCTTCCTCTGCCACCCCGCAGGTTGGTTGCTCCATCGATGGCCAGAAGAGGGAGGTGAGGGAGAGAGGGGGAGAGCTCTGGAGCTACTGAGGGAGGCATCTCATGGCAAACCAGACTGCGGGGAGACCTGGTACCTGCTGGGAAGGTCAGTCTTTACTCTTCTCAACAGAACTACATTTCACCCCCTCTCTCTCCTCTTTTGTAGAGTCCTCATGACTCAGCGAAAGTGCCACGAAGCTTTTGCAGCTTACCAGAAAGCGATTCATTACCCCTCCAAGGTCTCCCCTGCCAACACGTGGCATTCTATTGGGTACATTATGACAGAGGACCCTCCAACACCTCTTTACCCAGTGTCTTTCTCTCTCCCTCTCTTCCTGTCCGATGGTGCAGCCACCTCTATTTCCAGATGCAGCAGCCGAGAGACTGTCTCCAGGCCTATCTCTGCTGTGTCTACATCGACGTGTTCCACCTCCAGGGCTGGAAGAGCCTGGGCTGCCTGTATGAGGCTGTAGTCTACCCAAGGTGAGTATTAACAGCACCTGTGTACCAGACCTACCTTTCTTTGTACTTTGTTCTCCAGGGAAGCGTTGATTTGCTATCAGAATGCCATGACAGCCTTTGCCAAGAAGGGTGTTAGAAGTAAGTGCACTCAGTGCTATTGGATTTTCCTCTCCTGACAACCTCCATACTTTCTGCTCTCTCTGTTTCCAGTGGGGAAGGATATGGACTATGTGCGCAGTCGTATCGAGTCACTCAACCGCTACCTGAGTGTTGTGGGTGTGGAGCCGTTTACACAAAACTCTGGAATGCCCCTATTGCACGAGGCTTGGGCGACACTGGTGCCTGTTCACATCCGCAAGAAGCAGCCCAAGCCAGAAACCCCCCTCCTGGTAAGATAACAGACTAATGTACGTGTTCTTTCATCTATACATAATCTACAAGCGATAATGTACATGTTGTACATGTGAACATGGGTTGACATGCTGTTTCCATGTATTCTGTACACGCAGACATTGAATCAGCTCAAAAGCCAGTATCTGGTCAACACCAATTTATCGGGGTCTCTTAGCTATTCTCTTCCGCCACACACGTACCCCTCTCCCTCCCCCACCTCTCTATTAACCCCTTCAACTCCCGGGTCCGCCAATACCTCTGGGGTCACGGGGAACGTGAATTTCCGAACCCCTCCATCTTCCGACAACGCCAACAATCGCCTACTACAGAGCGGGGGTTCGAATCTCGGAGCTCTAGAGAGCAAACAGAATGGCGGGACAGCAGTGAATGGTGGAGATCTGGATTTTAGTGGGATAAACCTGGAAAACTTGGATTTCGAAGCTCTAGCGGCTGCAGCTACTAGCTCACTCCCATCCCCGGCCTCTCTTTCTGCACGATCTAGAGTCACTGTCACCTCCACTTGTCGCTCTGAACAAACATCTACCGCCCACCCTCAGGTTGGGACATCTCTCTCTCCCTCTCGTCTCAACAGTTGTCCGTCTGCATCATCGAACACCTCTTTCTCCTCTCTCCAACCTTCGTTGGGAGCTCAGCCTTGTTCCCTTGCTCTCGCCCCGACTCTCTCTTCTCCCCATCTTCCTCTGTGTGGCAGTAGCGCGTCTTCAAGTAGTCCTTTCCTTTCGCCGTATTCTATCTCCCACACCACTGACACGGCGTGGAGCCAGCAAAATGCCGCAAACTGGCCCTCTTACCTAATGAAACAAGAAGACACCAGCACTTTTAAAAGCTCTCTGCCACTTCACACATTGGCCTCCGTGCCACAGCATGCTACAGTTCCTCACAGCCTCTCTCAGTCAAAGCTGTCTTCCGCAGCTCAGTCTCATCACTGGTCGTCTCCAACTGTACCTCCGCCTCCTTATTCTTCTGTTTCTTCTGCTCTTCCTCCCCCTTATTCCAGTCCCCCGTCTCCTGCCCCAGCCAGACCACTCCCGCTGACAGGAGAGCGAGAAAAGAGTGCCCCTCGTAAGAGGAGATCGAATTCATCGTCCAATACAAAGTCTCGAAACCGACGATCGTCGCAGGCAAACATCGTTTGCAGTTCTCAACCGACACCTCTGCTGGCAGAGCAACCTTTCCTAGTCGGGTTCAGCGGTATCAAGAAAGAGAGCAACGTTTGTCTTCCAGCTCCCATCCCCTCTAATATGGCCAGCGATCCGTCTCTCTTGTCTCGTATCTGGTCTGTGTCCAAATCTGCGTTTCCTCCCGCTTCTTTCCAGAGCCCAGAATTGTTCTCTACTGGCTTAAACCACTCTACGATCAACCAGATGAGTGTTGGTGGTTCAACCAATGGTGGTGGTTTCGACCAAGTTTTGTCGCAACTGTCTTCGCCTCTCAGTGGTCCCTCTTTCGGTGGTGCTGCCGAAGTGAGCCAAACTGTACCACTGTGGACCACTGTGGCAAACACTACCGGGAATGTGGACCCATTGTTCGGGCAAAACCATGCAACGCCACCTTTGTCTAGAACAGACATTACCATGGCATCGAGCAACAATGCAATTCACATCTCAACGGTTGCTGACGACAACGGCTTCTTTGGTAGTGTCCAAACGGAGCCGCTCCCTACCACTGCTCGTCCAAACTCTTCATGGTTTGGTTTGTTTGGTCAGTACCAAACCACTCCCCAAGCCTCGAACCCCACTGGTACGCCCACTGAGCCAGGTCGAGAACAACAGGTCCTAAAGAAACCAAGATTGTCTCCCGACAAACGGCATCGAGAACTATGTCCTTCCTCCACTTCTCTGTCTTCTGTACTTCAAACTTCTGCTGTGCCCGTGACTCAATCTGAGCTCGCTCAAAACCTAATACATGATCGTGAAGACCACCGCTTACATCTGACGGAGTCTACCAGTTCACAATCATCCTCTCTCCCTCCCTCTTCTTCCCGTCAACTGGCACCCACCTCCTCTTCACTGGTCAACCAACTCATTGAAGTTCTACAGACCAGCAATAGAGGAGGAGGTGATATCTCACCGTCAGAATCTTCCAGTGGGGTTTCTTCTGCCGGGACAACTTTTTTCCCGACGTCCACTGCAGAATCATCGCCAGTTGACTCTCACTCTCTTACTACTTTGAGTTCTCCCATCTCTCTCACCCGAGTTCCCTCCCTTCCTTGCTCTCTTTCCCGGCATCACCCCACCACCATTTTACCTCGTCACTCTGACAGTGGCACCACCAATCGTCCGCAGTCGTCTCCCCGTGGCTCCTCACCCAGGGGGGGTCCCGACCGGAACCCCACCAATGCCGAGCTAAAAAATAACATCCAAAGGGCACTGGAGAGCAAAAGTGCGAGCAACAATTCCAAGTTGATTTATCCGCGGGCCCCATTCCCATCCCTGGCCTCTCTCAAGGAGTACATGGTACTGGAACCGGACCTGAGACCTCCGAAACAACCCCCATTCCAGTCAGGAATGGAACTGAGACCAGACTGCCCTGTGTATGAGGTAGGCAGCCCAGAAGTGCATGCCTTGTTTCAAACTTTGTAGCACATACGAAATTTGCTAAATTGTTAAATTTTACATAACGTCTATTTCAGGTGACTGGTTGTAAGGAGGCAGAGTGGGACCGTCTCCTAGAATATTGCAGTAACCCAGACATTCCCATCTGTATTATCAGAGGTCTCGTTGATGCCATCGGATTAGGTAAAGATTTTCTATGTACGTTGTGTAGTGAACACTCTTAGTAGCATGAAGATTTGATGAGGCAAATCTTTCAGGAATGTGAAAATTGTACTGATGAAATTTCGTGGAATGTGTGTTCAATTTGTATCCCTATCCACTGTATTTCACAGCAATGATTCCACTGATGTCCTCAAACCTCAGAAATCTTGAAAAAATTTATCCTAATCTCCAGTATTGGAGTTTGTTATCTGTTGATTAGCGCTCTCCCTCTCTCCCTCTCTCTCTCTCTCTCTCTCCTCTCTCCTCTCCCTCTCTCTCTCTCTCTCTCTCCCTCTCTCCTCTCTCTCTCTCTCTCTCCTCTCTCCCCCTCTCCCTCTCAGATCTTAACCTGTTTTCCAGCCAGTGTCTGGTGGACACTTGTGCTGACCATGAAATGGAAGTTAGAGAACAGGTGAGACGAGCACACATCCACACTCAAACAGCCTCTAAATCCTCTCGTTTTGTGTGTTGCTAGATGAAGCAAGCAGTCAATGAAAACTGCGACGTTGGTAGCAGGAGACAAATATGGAAATGCGAGAGTTCAAAGAGCGTTACCACGGTAGCCGAGTATGCCAGATACCAGCAGAACATGCTCCAGAAAGAGAGGGAGGTGTGTCTACCATCTCTTACATCTTCCTTCCCCTCTCTCTCTCTTCCCTTCTTACTTTTTCTCTCTTCCATTTCGACTTTCGCCATGTCTTCAGTCAGTAAATTATGCTCAAAATACATCCGCAGAAACTCTGGGTGTTCAAAGTGTGACTCTGATTTCATGTATTGTTCGACTGTAGGGAGGTGAGGCCAGAGGGACTGGATCTAGTGATGAGAGAGAGTTTATCAGTTTTGGGACAAACGTCGATATTTCAGACGAGACGATTTGGTCCCACAGCTCCAGGAGCTGAACAAACTACCTCAGTTCCTCAGAGTATGCAACACCTACAACTTCACTCTCTTACCTTTATTCCCTATCATAGTGCCATACATCTATGTTGCTAGCCCATCCCTATCAATAGTACAGTCCTAGACTAAACCTAATTAAAAGTCTCTGTGTACTAATATATGTGCACATCTGTGTGTGATGTACTGTGCAGGTGACTGCCCCGAGACGAACCTGCTGTCCCATATTGGTCACACGGTCCTGGGAATGAACTCAGTACAACTCTACATGAAGGTGGCTGGATCAAGAACACCAGGTATTATACATACATACATACACATACAATCTGAGAAGCCAGGGATCCCTTTCTTTAAAAATTTTCCTACTATCCTGCAGTTTTTTTGGGATCTCATGCAAAATATACGATATTATTTTTTTTCTTGGTGTCGATCCCTCAGGTCACCAGGAGAACAACAATTTTTGCTCGTTGAACATCAACGTCGGTCCAGGGACGTGCGAGTGGTTTGCAGTTCCAAACTCCTACTGGGGAGTCCTGCACAGCCTCTGTGAAAAGTCAGTCTTTTCTCTCTCTCTCTCTCTCTCTCTCTCTCCTCTCGTGTCAGTTGCTGTCTTACACATGATGTGTGCTTATTTCTCTGACAGGTACAAAGTCAACTTCCTAATAGGTATGTGACGTATGGTGTCAAACTATTAAAGGGGAAATTTTGAAGCAAAAGTGTGACTTACAATCTTGAGTGTGAATTGTTTTACGGGGCTTGTAGTTTAGCAAAGTCATTTCGGGGAGATTTCAGAATGCCCCTGTATTGTAGCTTCTCTTTTTCATCTTCATTCTCATCTCTCTCTCACCTCTCTCTTCCTCTCTGGCAGGGTCGTGGTGGCCGGTGTTGGAGGAGCTACCCCAACACAACATCCCAGTCTACAGATTCACGCAGTACAGGGGAGAAGTGGTGTTCATTAACCCTGGCACCATTCACTGGGTCCAGGCCAATGTTAGTGCGACCATAGATACTGTATCGTAGTGCAGCGTATGATAGCTTTTGGAAGTGGTTGTATGGATCTAGAAAGTATGTACCTACATGGGTAGCTTTAGTTCTATAGCAAATGTCTGCAAGGATAGCTTCCTTTCACGTGTGTTCACGTGTGTGTGTGTGTTACAACCTCTCTATTTAGGGTGTGTGTAACAACATAGCGTGGAACACGGGCCCACCCACTGCCCACCAGTTCAGGATGGCCTGGGAGAGATACCAGTGGAACAAACTGCAGAGTATGTCCCTCCAATTACAGTGTATTGTGGTCCTATTTTGATGGTGTGTTTTATATACCGTGTGTTGATCAGAGGTTCGTAGCATCGTTCCAATGGTCCACCTCACCTGGAACATGGCCAGACGTATTAGACTCAACGACTCGCACTTCTACTGGCAAGTCAGGTCTGCTGTCACACACTTCTTGGGCACTTCGATAACTTTCTCTCTCTCCGTCTTTCTCTCTCTCCTTCTCTCTATCTTTAGGTCTCTACTGGAGAGCTCACTGGCCCAGACGAACCTTCTTGTGTCTCACCTCAAGAAGGCCGGGATACCAATTCTCTGGCATGGCAGACTAGCTGGTGAATCTGCTCCTTACTGCAACGACTGTGCTGTAAGTTCAGACCTTTAGAAATGACCTGTATACTATGGATTAAGATGGTTGTTTGCTACTATGTTTAGCCAAAGAATTGTTTAGCTAGTTGTATATATGCCAAAGCAAAAGTTGAAGTACGTCTTTTGACCCCCCCTCTTCTCCTCTTTTTTCTCCATCTCCTCTCTCCTCAGGAAGAAGTGTTCAATGTTTTGTTTGTGCTGAGTCACAGAGGAGAGTATCTCGTCTACTGCCACCGCTGTGCCAGCTCCATGAGGAAAACCTTCACCGTCCTCCAACAGGTTAAAATTTTTCAACGCCTTCCAAGATAAACATTTTAACCATGTGTTTTTCTTGCAGTATGACATTGAAGAGCTAAAGGATATTCTTGCAATGTTCAGCCTTCACCTTCCAGAAACATAAACTTTCTCCTTCATTTTATTTAGAATGTTCATCTTTCTTCAACTTACTTCACTTTGACCACCATTATTAATACAACTCTTATGACAAAGAAATGAGAGTGAAGCTAACGAAATTGAACGAAGAGACACTGAATATATATAAAATATTTTGCATCTATTAAGTCTTTTGTACTAGGATATCAATCTTTCTCCCTGTCTCTCTACTATGTCTCCATGTTACTTTAATGTTGGGCCAGAGAGTCTGTGCAGTGTGGTTCAGCACAAAATCTCTGATATATCCCGATTCTTCCTCTACCACACTCTGATGTCCAGTCGGAATGACGTCATTTTTACAGCCGATGATGTCATAGTTGTCTTCGGGAGGGAGTGGTCTAATTTGAGTCAGGATGAGAGGAACTTCGGAGTTCATGCCTGTCTGCATCGCCTGTCTGGAAAACCTACGGTGTGTAATATAACCTATGAGATCCTCAATGCAAGTGATGCCGATTTTTGTCTTTCTAAACTCCCTCAACTCACCCACTATAGCTGGCTAGAAGACCTGCTACAGAGTAGGGTGTCTTTCGAGGACCTGTCATTCTCGCCACCACACTCTCGAGTTCCCTCACTTCCCCAGGGTTCAGTGGTGTGCGATGTCGCCACTTACACTGGCCCACAATATCCAGTCTGGCAGCTGGTGTCAGGGCCCAGTGACCCACGAAGTCTACACCCCCATCTCCCCGACGACCACTGTGGTACAACTGGAACGAATACCTGCAAGCAAATAGATCTTTGTCAAAACGTCCACAATCAAAATACAAAAATTATTTGTCCCACCTGCGAAGTACTGCCAATACCAAGAGCTCATAAGCTCTACCAACTGCCACAGTCGAGAGCTGCTGTAGCATTGTGATGGCATGTGTGTTCGCGCATGCGCGTGTTGTAGAATATCACGTGCGCTTAATTTTTCCGCGCGTGGTATTCTTCCTCGCAATTCAATTGGTCAGTTTGCACATTGAATCAGCTGTCCCGCCCCGTCGGATAGGTCCCTGAGCCAGATAGGTCCTTGAGCTCCCTTCTCGACCGCCATGCCGCCAACAGACTACCAGGAGGTTAAAGGTAAATGCCTCTCGGCGCTATATCGGAGGAGAAATCACGGGAGATCCGTGGGTTGTGCATGCAGAGAAGGTGAAGAAGTTTCTGACGGACTTCTACCAGGACGGGGAGGAGGGGAAGGAGTTCACCTATGCCCAGCAGCTGACGGCCATTGCTCACAGGGAGCAGGTGGAACTGACTGTGAACTTGGACGATGTCGCCGAGGCAAGTCACATTCCCATACCCCCATTCTAATTCCACCCTACTCCTCCACAGATTGACCCCGAGTTAGCTGAGGCAGTAGTTCAAAACACAAGACGCTATGTCTCCATCTTCAGTGAGGCAGTTTCGGAACTTCTCCCTGTCTACAAACAAAAAGAGGTGGCGATAAAATAGAAGAGAAAGAGGATATTGTTGTCCTGTTTTTTAGGTCATGGCAAAGGATGCACTTGATGTTTACATCGAGCACAGGTTGTTGCTACGGCAACAGCAGCGAGGCGACTCCACCCCCTTGGACCCCCGGAACTCCTACCCTCCGGAACTAATCCGCAGATTGTGGGTTACCCCTCAGATCACTCTGTAATTATCGCCATTCTCTCCCCATGACTCTCTCTTGTAGTGAACTCTATTTCAAGCCCACCTCCCGCACCCACACTCTCTCTGTACGACAGATCAAGGCCGACAGTATCGGTCGCCTCGTCACGGTGAGGGGCATCGTTACTAGGGCAACCGAGGTGAAGCCCATAATGACCGTGGCAACATACACATGTGATCAGTGTGGGGCTGAGTCATACCAACCGGTTAGTCAGTAGGCACTCTGTATCTTTAAAAATCGAGAGAATAGAGGGAGTGTTTATATAATATGTAGGTACACTGTAAAATTTCGCCCTGTACATTTTTTTGGGAGCCTTTTTATAGCTGCAGGCTTTGTGAGCTGTAGTGTAACTGCTAAGTAATTCCACAAAATTTGGGATTCATGAATTTTTTTCTCCGGCTACTTTCTTGCTACGAAGATTTCCTCTCCATCCTTCACACCACTGGTGATGTGTCCCAGTCAAGAGTGCCAGAGAAACAAGTAAGTCACATGACTGTCATGTGATATCTGATGCTGATCATGTGACCTCACACGCAGGTCAGGAGGTCGACTCTACCTCCAGACTCGCGGGTCAAAATTCATGAAATATCAAGAAATCAAAATCCAGGAAAACGTGAGGGAGAGATAAAATTGTGGTTTTTCTGGTCAAACCAGTTAGTGACTTGTTTCCCTCCAGAATGACCAGGTTCCGGTGGGGAACATTCCTCGCTCCATGACGGTGGTTGCCCGCGGCGAGAGGACTCGTCTTGCCATGCCGGGAGACCACGTCGCTGTTACTGGCGTATCCTCTCCTCACCTCCTACTCCATCTCCTCTCCCCACTCCCAAAGGGCCTTACTTTTCGTTCTTTTTGCAAGAGCATGGGGGGTAAAGACAGGTCAACCAACCATCCCGAATACCTTGACTATAGCTGGAGTATGCAGCAACAACATTCATTTCATCTCTATTTTCCAAAAGACTGTCTGGTAGACACTTGTTCCTTGACTTGCGATGTGACAGGTATTTCTCCCATTGGCAAAGACAGGCTTCAGACAGATGACACAAGGTCTCCTCTCTGATACATTCTTGGAGACCCACGTGAGCTTTTTACACTTAACTCATGAATGGTAAAATATTTTCTGTGATTGTTTGCAGAAAATAACTCGCGTGAAGAAAATGGACGAAGATGAAGATGAAGCAACTGAGATAACGGAAGAGGAACTATCGTCTCTCTCACAAGGTATGTAATTATGAGAATGCATTCACCTGTAGTGGGAAATAAAACTTATGTGTGTGTTTTCCCGGTGTAAAAATGTATGTCAGAGGAGGATTTCTACGAGAAGCTGTCGCAATCTCTGGCACCAGAGATCTACGGTCACGAGGACGTGAAAAAGGCTCTCCTTCTCCTGTTGGTGGGCGGAGTCGACTGCACCCCGCACGGAATGAAAATCAGAGGTCAGAGAACTGAAATAGAAATATCCTTATAGGGAATGTGGCAGGGCTAAATGTAGGAATACAACATTCTTTCACTGTGCCCTATTGTTTAGTTCAACCTTTACTAGCATTTCTATATGATTTCCACCTTCCCTTTAGAAAACCGCCAAAATATCTCAAATCTTTGGTGCAGGTAGTATCAATGTTCTACTGATGGGTGATCCAGGAGTGGCCAAAAGCCAGCTGCTGTCCTACATCGACCGTGTGGCTCCACGAAGTAAGTTCTCATACAGTGGAACCACTCTTTAAGGACATTCCTGAAATATAGAAAAACCTTCTAATATGACATGTTTTCTTTCCCTAAGAACAGTTCTTAAATGCCCCTGAAATAATGACTCATAATTATGGACACTTTGGGTGTAAACACCTACAGGTCAGTACACGACAGGGCGGGGCAGCTCGGGCGTCGGTCTGACAGCTGCCGTGATGAAAGACCCCGTTACCGGGGAGATGACCCTGGAGGGTGGGGCTCTTGTTCTCGCTGACCAGGGAGTCTGCTGCATCGACGAATTTGACAAGATGTTGGACGGAGACCGAACCTCCATCCACGAAGTCATGGAGCAACAGACAATCTCCATCGCCAAGGTGACCAAAATTTTACCACGTTTTTCTCACCCTTAAAAATGTATTCTCGCCTCAACCATTAAATTTTCTCCTCTTGTCTATACCTTTTCCTGTGAACATTTTGAGTTTAATAATCTGTTCTATGCCCCGTATACAGGCTGGTATAATGACAACCCTCAATGCGAGGGTGTCAATACTAGCAGCTGCCAACCCGGCATTCGGTCGCTACAACATCAAGAAATCAGCAGAGGCCAACATACAGCTGCCAGCGGCCCTCCTGTCGCGATTCGACCTTCTCTGGCTGATCAGGGACAAGTGTGACTCTGAGAACGATCTGAGACTGGCCCAACACGTGACTTACGTCCATCAGCACTCAGTCCAACCTCCTTCTCAGTTTGAACCTCTCGACATGAAACTCATGAGGTTTGACAAAATCTCTCTCTCTCTTCCTTTACTCTCTCTCTCTCTCTCTCTCTCTCTCTCTCTCTCTCTGTCTGTCTCATATCTTTTACTCTCCACACATTTCTTTTCCCTCTCTTCCTCAGTCGCTACATAGCGGCCTGTAAGAAGAGACAGCCCATGGTCCCACAAGCACTGACTGACTACATCGTAGGGACCTATGTTGATATGAGGAGAGAGGCCAGAGCTAACAAGGGGGGAATCAACCAGACCTTCACCTCAGCTAGAACTCTACTCTCTCTACTGAGGCTCTCCACTGCCCTCGTATGTTGGAAACTTCGTGTGTTTTTTTAGACTTTGAAACAACGTGTGTGTGTGTGCTGATCGCAGGCGAGGCTGAGAATGGCCGATGTCGTTGAGAGAGAAGACGTAAACGAAGCCATGAGACTCATGGAGATGTCCAAACAGAGTCTCTATGACGACGAACAGTCGTCGAGGTGGGTGTGGTCTCGTTACTATTTATAGAGATTGGAGATTACGTCGTGATCTTGTAGGAGTGTGCGTCCAATTGATGCCATATATGGAGTCCTCCGGGAGATGAGCGACCCGGACACTGTCAGGTGAGTGTCACGTGACCCGTGTTGCTAATCAGATGACATCACTTCCTGTCTGACAGGTTTGACGAGGCGCGACAGAGGATCCTGGCCAAGGGCTACACACCGGACCAGTTTGAGCAATGTCTGGAGGAATATGAGAGACTTAATGTCTGGCACATCAACCAGTCTCGCACTCGCATCACGTTTGTCTAGAACATTCTACATACTCTCTCTAGACCAGCTATACTGTGGACACACACACACACATCAAGCAAACCTCGGTGGTGTATTGCATCTAATACCACATCATACTTGTTTGTGGCAATTTGCCTGTTATTAGCGAGTGTCATCAACGTGGTCAGGCAAAGCAAACGCAAACCACACACCTACACCCAGGACAACTCTTTTCCAAGGAAAAAAGAGCTGCCCTGGGTGGGGTTCAAACCCGGACAATCTGCACTACCCGGTGAGTGCCCTGCATGCATAAGGTATTGTATTGTGAACACGTGTATTTGCTGTGTCAGTAGTGTAGGTGTAGCACACATGTACACATGTCAACCCTGTGTGTTGACTGACCGAAAAATACCCTGGGAAATTCCCGGGCCGGAAATTCTTCCAAACTGCATAAATAGTGACAATACCTAGCACCAAGTATAGTCCAGTGCTGTTCAGTTACTCATATGTGGATTTACACAACCCAAGAAATGACGGAAGAAGGTCAACCAACTGTGTGTGTGGCGTTGACAGACCGAAAATTCCCTGGGAAATTCCCATGTTGTGTAGGTTGGGACGGCAACTGCGGAAATAGTGAGCTACAATACCTAACACCAAGTATAGTCCAGCGCTGTTTCAGTTACTCATACGTTTATTCCCAGAAGGCATGTCTTTCAAAAACAACACAGGTACAGGCCACTGTATATAAAGCAGCTCCGCTCCCGTGGTTAGAGCTTGTGAATTTACACAACCCAAGAAGGGATGGAAGAAGATAGGCAAGCTACGTTTGAATCTAAATCATTTGCGGAAGGAAGGTTTCGCAGGGCGTACAGAGGAAAGTGGACGGCACCACCGTATGCTGCAGGTCACACATGCGTCGTGAAGGAGTTCAAAGAAACGTACACCTGGAAGCCAACAGATTGGGATGAGACGGTCAAAATCAATGACAGAGCGAAAGAGCTTGCAGCTGGGTTTAACGACGCAGTTGCTACCACCAAGCCAATATCGTTCACAGATGTCCACGTCATGAAAGTTGTGTCCACTAGTGACCCCTACAAAACACCCAGGCTGCATGAGTACGTCACCTGCGAAGATTTCATTCCTGGCACATTCAATAAATGGTGCAACAACTATGGCTACATCAGCACCGAGTCATTGAGCCTGCCTGCCTTCATGCACTGGTCGTGGAACTACACTGGTGGGGAAGAGATGGTTGCAGATCTACAGGGTGTTCGAAACCCACACTCCTTCAAGCTTACTGATCCCGTCATAATCTCTCTGGAGGAGAGCTACGGAGCTACTGACATGGGAGTGGAGGGGATGGCCATGTTTTTCCTCAACCACAAGTGCAACAGCATATGCACGGACCTCCCTGCACCCACCCTGGCTCATTTTCGTCGCGTCATCCCTCAGCCGTACTTGGAGGCTGCCAAGACACTAATGGCTCAGGTCTACAACTCAACCACGTTCAGAATGGAGCTGAAATTCCCACAAGACATTCGTGGTCGCGTGGCAGCGAGGTTCCGTGAAATTGCCACGAATTAAATGAAAATGAAAAGAACAAGTAGCAATGCAGGACCGCAACTGTAAACAAAACAAAAACAGTACATTTTACTTAGTTTTACACATTAATTTGTATACTTGTTGGATTAATCATTAATTTGCATACTTGTTGGATTAATCATTAATTTGTATACTTGTTGGATTAATAAAATAGTATGGTAGAGAAATTGAGGGTCATTGAATCCTAAAATAGTCACACTACACAAGTCTCAGTTGAGGAGCTCCTTGATGTCGCGATGGATCTGGCAGAGGAAGTCGACGTAATTAGTCCCCTCCCACTGCCCCGCCCCCTTGTCCTCCTTCAGCATCCGACGGAAGAACACCTCCGTCTTGTCTCTCTGTATCGCCACTCTCAGCTGCGAGGAAATTGTTTGTTTCACATGTCTGCTGACAAACATTTTTACTCACAGCTCAAAAAACTACCAGATCAGGAAAAAAATTAGATGGTGAACGGAGAATTTTTACCTTCAGCTGCAGTTGCCTGGTAGCCTGGAGATGGGCGCATATTCCTCTCACTCTGAATGAGAGGGGGTTGTCTAGAGCTGGGAGAGACGGCTGGAGAGAGGGAGAGAGAGAGGAGAGAAAAGGAGAGAGAGAGAGAGTTAAAAACTAGCGTGCCTTTGTGTTGAGAACATTTCCTCACACAATCCCAGTATATACTCTTCACTTTTATGTTAGTGTACATAGTCTCAACCTAATTCAACAAGCTGTTTTATTGCCGTTTTAAATCCAATTTGTTGACTTCAAAAAGTTAAACCTAACCCTGCACTTTAACCCAATTATCACAAGGTCTCCAAAAGACTTGACCTACGTACCATGTCAGTGTTGATCTGAGCTACAGAAGGATCGTGATCTTGTAGGAGTGTGCGTCCAATTGATGCCATATATGGAGTCCTCCGGGAGATGAGTGACCCGGACACTGTCAGGTGGGTGTCACGTGACCTGTGTTGCTACTCAGATGACATCACTTCCTGTCTGACAGGTTTGACGAGGCGCGGCAGAGGATCCTGGCCAAGGGGTACACACCGGACCAGTTTGAGCAGTGTCTGGAGGAATATGAGAGACTTAATGTCTGGCACATCAACCAGTCTCGCACTCGCATCACGTTTGTCTAGAACATTCTACATACTCTCTCTAGACCAGCTATACTTTGGACACGGACACACACATCCAGCGAACCTCGGTGGTGTATTGCATCTAATACCACTTCATACTTGTTTGTGGCAATTTGCCTGTTATTAGTGACACTACACTGCAGGTGCGTGCCCGCATGCATAAGGTATTGTGAACACTGCTGTGTCCATGTACACATAATTATGTTTGTGTGTGTGTGGTGTTGACAGACCGAAAAATACCCCGGGAAATTCCCACATCGTGTAGGTTGAGCCGGCAATTATTCCAAACTGCGGAAATATTTGGCTACAATACATATTACCAAGTATAGACCAGCGCTATTTCAGTTACTCATACGTGTATTCCCAGATGGCTCGTCTGTCAAAAACAACACAGGTACATGCCACTGTATATAAAGCAGCTCCGCTCCTGTGGTTAGAGCTTGTGGATTTACGAAAGGATGGAAGAAGATAGGCAAGCCAGATTTAAATTTAAATCATTTGCGGAAGGAAGGTTTCGCAGGGCCAGATTTGAATCTAAATCATTTGGCCAAGGAAAGTTTCGTAGAGCATACAGAGGAAAGTGGACGGCACCACGTTATGCTGCAGGTCACACATGCGTCGTGAAGGAGTTCAAGGAAACGTACACCTGGAAGCCAACAGATTGGGACGAGACGGTCATAATCAATGACAGAGCGAAAGAGCTTGCAGCTGGGTTTAACGACGCAGTCACTACCACCAAGCCAATATCGTTCACAGACGTCCACGTCATGGAAGTTGTGTCCACTAGTGACCCCTACACAACACCGAGGCTGCATGAGTGGGTCACCGGTGAAGATTTCATTCCTGGCACATTCAATAAATGGTGCAACAACTATGGCTACATCAGCACCGAGTCATCCAGCCTGCCTGGCTTTATGCACTGGTCGTGGTACGACACTCGTGGGGAAGAGATGGTTGCTGACCTGCAGGGCGTTCGAAACTCCGACTCCTTCAAGCTTACTGATCCTGTCATAATCTCTCTGGAGGAGGGCTACGGAGCTACTGACATGGGAGTGGAGGGGATGGCCATGTTTTTCCTCAACCATAAGTGCAACATTTTCTGCCGGGACCTCCCTGCACCTAAGTTAGCTCATTTTCGTCGCGTCATCCCTCAGCCGTACTTGGAGGCTGCCAAGACACTAATGGCTCAGGTCTACAACTCAACCACGTACAGAATGGAGCTGAAATTCCCACAAGACATTCGTGGTCGCGTGGCAGCGAGGTTCCGTGAAATTGCCACGAATTAAATGAAAATGAAAAGAACAAGTAGCAATGCAGGACCGCAACTGTAAACAAAACAAAAACAGTACATTTTACTTAGTTTTACACATTAATTTGCATACTTGTTGGATTAATCATTAATTTGTATACTTGTTGGATTAATAAAATACTACGGTAGAGAAATTGAGGGTCATTGAATCCTAAAATAGTCACACTACACAAGTCTCAGTTGAGGAGCTCCTTGATGTCGCGATGGATCTGGCAGAGGAAGTCGACGTAATTAGTCCCCTCCCACTGCCCCGCCCCCTTGTCCTCCTTCAGCATCCGACGGAAGAACACCTCCGTCTTGTCTCTCTGTATCGCCACTCTCAGCTGCGAGGAAATTGTTTGTTTCACATGTCTGCTGACAAACATTTTTACTCACAGCTCAAAAAACTACCAGATCAGCAAAAAAAATTAGATGGTGAACGGAGAATTTTTACCTTCAGCTGCAGTTGCCTGGTAGCCTGGAGATGGGCGCATATTCCTCTCACTCTGAATGAGAGGGGGTTGTCTAGAGCTGGGAGAGACGGCTGGAGGGAGGAGAGAGAGAGAGGAGAGAGAGAGAGGAGAGAGAGAGAGGAGAGAGAGGAGAGAGGGAGAGAGAGAGGAGAGAGGGAGAGAGAGAGGAGAGAGGAGGAGAGAGAGAGAGAGAGTTAAAAACTAGCGTGTCTTTGTGTTGAGAACATTTCCTCACACAATCCCAGTATATACTCTTGACTTTTATGTTAGTGTACATAGTCTCAACCTAATTCAACAAGCTGTTTTATTGCCGTTTTAAATCCAATTTGTTGACTTCAAAAAGTTAAACCTAACCCTGCACTTTAACCCAATTATCACAAGGTCTCCAAAAGACTTGACCTACGTACCATGTCAGTGTTGATCTGAGCTACAGAAGGAGCTCCGAAAACTTGAGACATGAAGTCATGTGACACCTGCTGCCCCACCCACACCACCAGCTGGAACCCGTTCTCTATATATAGAACCGATGACATCATCAAAGTATGCTATATATATAGCACGTCCATGACATCATACCTATTGCGTAAACACCAGTGTCCTGCAGCTTCTGTCCAGTGCATCTTAAAACAGGAGGAAGCCCTTTTTCTTCTATATCAACATCATGCTGTGGGGAGAAAAAAGAAATTTTTCTGCAGCGAAAAATCATTTGCTCCTAGAGTATAAGATACATGTATGTATGTATGTATGAAGGTATTATACCAGAGAGATCATTCGTGGGTAGAAGAAAGCTCCGGATTGCTCCAGAGACAAAGACAGGACACTGTACATCAACCAACACTTCTCATCCAGCGGCAGTATAGGAGCTGGAGACAAGAATCACATGACATTCATGTGACATCAAAACAGAGGTCACATGATTTGAATGCAAATTTGAAGGTCAAACTCGCATTAAAGCAAAGTGGTAACTCCCATTTGAACATCAAATTAGAATTTGAAGGTCAAACATTTAATGCCCACACATGTATGACATTCATGTGACGTCAAAGCAGAGGTCACATGATCTCAGACTCACGTGATAGGAGACAGTCACTCTTGAGGATGCAGTTGGTGTACATGGGGAGGAGTTTGAGGCTCTCTGGCAGAATGAGCTGCCCGGCTGGCGACTGGCTGGAGCATTGCTTTCCGGTAGCAGGCCAGCATGACGGCACACTGCTTCGTGAGGGTCTCCCGGATGGATTTGAACGGCATGGAGAGAGAGGCATGCACCACTGGGGGAGAGGGAGAGGAAGAAAGCAAGCCCACATAGTCTTGCTTTTCTATTATAATATGTGACGGGGACCGCACATACCTGATGTTCTACATGATTCTAAATACACGAACGGAATCTTGCTACTCCCATTCGCTTGCCAAAAAGGATTTTTTTCTAGTATAGAAGTAAGGAAAGACGAGATTACCGCTCTTGGAGAGAAAGTTGATGATGGTGTCGATTTCACAGCTGCGATAGAAGTCTTGGTACTTGGTGGAGCAGTTCAGGGCAACGTTGTGGATCCTTAGCCGCCGCTCACCCTCTATAGGTTGTGTACAGTAGAGCCGCCTGTGGGGTCAGGGGTCAGAGGTCAAGATGACGTAATGGGGGTGTGGTCACCTGAAAGAATGGGTTCTCGTCTTCCTTGAGTTTGTCGTCGTGTTTAATCTCCACGGCGATGGCCTTGTCAGAGTCAATGTTGGCTAACTCGATGTCGGTCGTGTTTTGCATGAAGAATGCTCCGTAGAACCCAGTAGGCCGAAGACCTGAAGAGGAAGAGCAGAGAACAGAGCAGGAAATGTCGAAAGTGCTATATGCAAGCTTAGCCTCATCTACATTACATATTCAGACCCTTCAAAAGTCAAAGGTTTGAGCACAACAGTGGAACTCCTCTCTACAAGTGGTGTCTGTATTAGAGGGGCTCTACTGTAGTACTGACCAGTGCTGGCTCTGACTCTCATGACGGCGTCAAACCCAGTCTGTCTGGACACACAGTTGATGAGTTCAGATATCAGCCTCGAACCATCAGCAGCAGTCTGGACATGGAGGACGGAGGGGAAGAGGGAGAGGCAAAGAGAAAGAGCAAAGGAAGAGAGGAGGGGGAAAGAGAGAGGGAGAGAGGAGGAGGAGGGCAGGGTTTATAAGAGTGTGACCTCGTGCCTGCATCATTTTCCTAGGTCATGTACCTTAACTAACGTGGATCAAATATCAAATTCTCCAGTAATAATTTCCAAAATTACACTTGAATATCTGTGTATTCACACACACACACACACAGCAACATTTCTGAACATGTATAGAGAGAAAGTTAGCAGTATTCAGCAGTTGCCAAGGTAGACACACTCAATCTGAGACACCACACCCAACAACAACCGCTCCGCCTCTTGTTCCGTGGTTGCCACGACGTCGTCAAGGTTACCGGGACATTCGGTCCCCACTCCGGGGACAATCACGGGGTACTGACGAACAGGGGGCACCGCACCACTCCCCGTCATCCCAGACTCCCCTCGAGCATGGTGGGCTACTATTAGAACCACCACACACACCAACAGCAATAGACCAGTTGAGAGCCTCATTTCTGTTGTCAAAATCGACGTTTTCCCGAGAAAATGCAGTTCTGAAGATCGAGAAAGACTTTTCCTAAAGGATTCGAAGTTTCTGAGCCGCGAAACCAGTCTACTTCTTTCTCTTCAAGAGCAGAGAGATGTATGGCGGCAAAGACTTGACTGAGGCGCCTTCTTGCAGCGAGCGGTGGACAACTGAGCTGCGATTCTTGCGAAACAAACTGAGCTACAAGGCAACGGACGCGACTATTTATCGAGTTCCTCGAGATATGCAATATCACATACTTCCACCAACACTCCACCACTATTACATTACGTGGCACATTTCAGCCTCAATGCATGCGTACACATCCGCAACACATGAGGCATTAACTAGGAAAAATATGATACACTATTACACATACTATTCTCAAAGGAATAGCTAACACTCGAACATATATGTGTGGGCTCTCCTCCTACTCTGACTTTCTAATTCTCCCGCACAAACCTTCATTAGAGCAATATTCTATCAAATGGCAAATATCCTTACATGGAAAAAGGAAAAGGGGGCCACAACGGTAAAGTAACAGATTCTCGAACATTAAACATATGATCCCAAATGGTCTCCTACATATCGTTGTTGCTCCTCCCTCTACCCTCTATCACCCTTACCTGATAATTAGTAAAGAGATGCAGCTGTCCTCCGGTGGTACTGCAGAGCCCGCCCAGCGTCGCCACGTCGCAGTAGGTGGGCGGAGTCAGGAACAGCTCGACGGCCACTCCGTGTTTCACACACTCCTCGGCCAGCTTCTTGTACGACGAGTTGACAGGTTGCAGTAGGCTCTGAGGAAAACAAGAGATACCCAAATATGTACATAACACTGCATACATAGCTAAAGTAGGCACTTAGTAGCTATTATAGAGCATATTAAAGAACACACTATACAGTGCATTATGCGGTTTAGATTAATGCACACTTTCAGTGCATTAAGCAATTTAAAGCAGTGTGCATGTGGTAAAATGAAAGCCTGAAGGTCACATACAAGAACTAGGCACACACCACAGCAGGCAAGTTAGCCCCACCAACAATGTAAGTGGAACGTCATACGTCCATTTGCCAGTTTCCTACTTTTTCCTTGTCAGTTCCCAACAGTTTGGAATCCAGTCTGTTCTTGAGCTGTCCCGGAGCCTGGGCCGACGGGAGGCCGGTATGGAACAGAAACAGCCGACCGTTTCGGCCAGCTGCCTTGAGTGCCTCCAGACCGGCTCTGACGGCTGGTTCCAGGATGACTTCCGATGGTCTGGCACCAGAGAACATCCCTGGCAGCTGGGAGAGGAGGCTGGGGGGAGAAGAGACAGTTCGAGAGAGAGAGAGAGAGAGAGAGAGCAGACCTTTCCATAACTCCTCGAGCTTCCTTCACGTTCACGAGGAAACCGTCCACCATCGGAACAAACATATCTGCTGTATCCGTGACGACCATCATGCCCGGCTGAGCGAGAGTCGGCTTCAGGTTGTAGAAATGGAGGACCTTATCGTAGGTCGCCAGACCCACTAGTATCGGGGAGCCTTCTTCCTGGCTGGAGCTGTGCAGTGGAAGACAGATCATAGGGGCCCCTCATTTATAATATGTAGCTCATGAATTATTCATGACTCACTCGGGGAGGTGGTCGAGGACGGTGAGAATGTTCTGAGAGAGGAGAGGGAGGAGTCCACTGTTGGTACTGGCAGCGGACACGTCAATCAGGAAGATGTAGGCTGGAGCCTTCGGCAATCTGCCGTCCTGTGAGCGAACATCGTGTAGAGTAGCTCTCTCTCTCTCTCTCTCTTACACACACACAATTATATACCTTGCAGTACTCAACAGTTGCCCTGTATTCGACGGTACCAAATATCAGCTCGGGTCGCGACATGAGGTCAGTGCGCATCCCCTTGTGGTCCAAATGACAGAAATACTCAGGAGGCACTGTGTGTGTGTGTGTGTGTGTGATGTGTGTGTGTGTGTGAGAGAGAGACAAGATAACAACTTCATTACACACACATTATCTCTCTCTCTCTATCCTAACCTTCGTTGGAGCACTGGCAGATGGGACAGAGGTATTGCCGACCTCCGTCCACGAACCTCACGAAGGGATTCATGTAAGTCTTGCAGCGGTTGCAGCGCAGCGGACCTCCCGCCCCGTGGTCCACCAGGTGAATGGTGTTCTGAGACAATACACACACGTCACACAGTACATCATATTGGATAACATCCGAGGTAGATAAATTAATCTAGCAAATATTTTATTGTTATACTCAATATTGTCATCCTCAGCACGTATGTGTAAAAGGGGCCTAAATTATTTCGGGTCTGTAGGCAAAAAGAATGTGGAAAAACTAACACCTTTACATAGCATGCAGAGAAAAGGCACGATCCTAATTATAGCGGAGTGAACTAATTTTGCATTACAGTCCTCACTTCCTGTTCAGGGATGGTTGCCATGGGTTGCACGACGAGCCCCAGAGGAATGCGACAGCTGTTCAGCAGGTCTTTAGTAGCAGGGACATTGTAGAGTGTCGCTCGAATGAACCGAGGACTGCTGATACCTGCGGCACGAGAGGGTTAAAGTGGTCATGTGATCACTGATGATGTCACTCACCATCATCGACGACGGTGAAGTTGGTGGTAACGAGGGGCGGAGGGATTCCCCTAGATGAGGTGTGGTAGGGGGCGGAGCCTCGTTGCTCTTGATCCAACCTCATCATAGCAACCTGAGCACATGGTTTCTCTTTTAACTCCTTGTACATTGACAAGAATGCTTGAGAGTCTGATTCTGTAACCCTCTGCTCACTAATTATTATTATTCACACGTATGTATACAGGATTTCCTTCTTTCCCTTGTCCAGACTTACAGGATTTGGCATCTGCTCAGGATCAATCCGAGTCCTGGGAGGTTGCTGCACCATTCCCCCGGGTGGCGCACTCATGGGTCCCCCAGGACTCCCTGGAGGGGGAACCATTTGGGGACCCCGAGGAGGAGCAGGACCCCCTGACATAAATGGGGGGCCTGTTGGAGGGGGTCCGCCGTGCATCGCTGTAGGATGCATTGGGGGTCCGTACATTTGTCCTGAACTGGGGGGTCCTGCTAGCATTCCTGGTCGAGGGGGCATAACTTGTCCTGAAGATGGAGGTTGTCCAAACATTCCTGGATGTTGGGCGTGGCTCATAGGCGGAGCCTGTCCTGCAGTTGGTGGTGGAGGTTGTCCTAACATTCCTGGATGTTGGGCGTGGCTCATGAGGCGGAGGTTGTCCTAACATTCCTGGATGTTGGGCGTGGCTCATAGACGGAGCCTGTCCTGAAGTGGGTGGTGGAGGTTGTCCTAACATTCCTGGATGTTGGGCGTGGCTCATAGGCGGAGCCTGTCCTGAAGTTGGTGGCGGAGGTTGTCCTAACATTCCTGGAGGTTGAGCGTGTCCTGAAAGTGGGGCGTGGCTCATCGGTGGAACTTGTCCTGATGGAGACTGCCCGTAACCACCAGGTTGAGAGCTTGGTTGTCCTGAAATTGGTGGGGGAGGTCCGTATCCCATCGGAGCGTGTCCTGAAACTGGCGGAGGTGAAGGGTGTCCTAAATGTTGTCCTGAAATGGGAGGCTGGCCGTAATTTGTAGGAGCGTGTCCTGAAGTCAGGGGGCCCCCGAAATTAGTCGGAGGAGGGGCCGAATGTGGGGGAACGTGTGGTTGCGGAACACTTGTTGAACCCGGGAAATTCCCTCCAGGGGGCGGCCCCTGATGATATGTTGGAGCAGGGTGTCTGAAATTATGACCCCCGCTGGGGGGAGGTTGAAATTGCGACGACCCCCCTGGCAGGGGAGCTCTCGCTTGGCCTATTGACATACAAGCCATCTGTAGGAATATTATGGCATAGCTTATCTGGATTATGGCACAAAGTGATTATACTAGAGGTGTCCTTATTTCAGGGTTGGAATTGGATGCAAGACTTTTCTTGGGGAAAGTCCTAATCGAGGGGTTCCACTGTATATGTACATATGTATTATGGCAGATACTCTTCTCTCTCACCATGTCGGTAGGGGGAGGAGGGGCCTGGTAAGGCTGCAGTGGAGCTGTATACTGGCCACCAGTGGGCGGGGCTCCGTAGGACCCAGTGGGCGGAGCCCCATACCCTCCTGTAGGAGGCCCTCCATAAGTAGCTCCTGGCAGAGGCTGGCCAGGAAAGCTGTACATCATTCTGAACATAAAGAGAGAAAAGGCAACATAACCCCCAATTGCTTCGCCGTTGCACAAAAAATTCGCCTCTTGTCATTACATTACCTGACCTCCGGTGTGCTCTATTTAGAGTTCCAAGCTCTCGGACCCTTCCTTTCGCGTTATTCCGTTGCTGCAGAGGTTCTCCTGAACTTGACGAAGTAAATACACACGTACGAGTCCGTGTAAGCCTTCAGATCTGCAAAACAGGCTTTGCACGAAGCGCTATAGCTACCTCTTTCACTGCGATGACAAAAGAACCAACACGCGCATGATATGACGTCAGGGCCAAAGCGCGTGCGTGTACAATTCTAAATAGTCCCCACCGCTAAACAAAAGATACGAGCTGCCCATTCGTACAATGGAAATCTTCGTTTGCGAGCCTCTGGAAATCAACCCGCAAGTCTTTTCGCTGTGGTTGAGCGGCTACAGCGTCGATGAGGCCTTCCGACGACGCGTAGACACCGAACCAGAAACCAGTAAGCAGTTTCCGGATTTCCAGCGTTTACTGAGGAACGAGACCGTGGACCAGTTCCGTATATTCCTGATTCTTGAGCCCTACTTGCAATCCCCGCCTACCTTCCTGACTCAGGACCTGGTCCAGCTCCCCACAGCCACCAAGAAATCTCTCATAGAACATTACTATGCTTTCGATGAGTCGGTCGTTCGAGAATTCTTCGGCAAAAAACTGAGCACCAGAAACCGCAAGGACCTGGACGATGTCAGCGAAAAGACGGGGATTTCCCTGAAGAGCTGTCGGCGACAGTTTGACAACATCAAGCAGATCCTGAGAGTAGTGGATGACTACGAAGGCTCTTTAGTCGAAAACATCAAAACCCAGTTCATCCTCCCGGAACACCTCGCAAGGAACTATGCCTCAGTTGTCTTCATCAGTCACAATAGGTTTGAGACTAACAAACGGAAACTGGCGCATTTGAGTTTCAGTGACTTGACCTACTGTGCCAATCAGATGATAGACAGATGGACTGCGGGGGCTGAGGGATCGCACGCCATGGACGACGATCTGGAACTAGATCGCAACTTCCTCCAAGAACTCCACGATCTAAAACTCAGCCTCATCGATCGGGTGTGGATCGACAGACAGCTAAAGTACGTCGTGAAAGACCTCCGTCACAAGAAAATCCCTCCACAGACCCTCAAAACTATGGAGAGCTCGTTCAAGAGCACGTCGAAAGCCGTCACTATGCTTGGAACGTCACTCATTCACAGCAAAGATGTTAGGGATTTCTTTGTTGACGTTTTGGAGAAAATTGTTGAACCATGCAAACAGCTTGCTCTGAGCAAGGAAGACACTGCTAATCTGTTGGGTAGCATTGCGTCGACTTTTCCAGAGTGTGAGACTGCTCACGCCAAACACACGGGCAGACCTGGTCCCCAGGAGAATAAATGGAGGTATATCTACCTTCGCTATCTGGACACTCTCACTAACTGTGTTCTAGTTCTCTATCATGATTGAGAATAACTAAAAATTGTGCAGTTTCTGTTGGTATAAAACTTTCAGATTGCCGTTTGCTAGAATTTCACCTATCAGGTGTGCCCCTGATTCTCTTATAGCTACTATGGAAGAATTACAACTTGTATTGATGTCTTTCCATCAAGAACTAGCTTTATTCCGTCCTCGACCTCATCAAGACTAAATCGGTGGGTCACAATCTCCTATATAATATGAAGAATATAACTTAGCTACTTGTGCAACTCAGCAGCTCACATACATTCATTGGTAGAGAGTTAGCCTCCAGCATAGAGATGGCTTTGGGGTAACATCTGGGGGCTGCTAAAAAGTTCAAAAACCAGAAATTGATATTTCAGTGACAACTTACAGAGATGACCTCCTTTTATGCACAACTCTGCAGCAAGATAAATCATTTATTTGAGGTTATGAGAGACCAATCAAGGGAAGCATTAGAGGCAAAAACTCCATACTCTACAAACCTGCCTTCAACTCTCAGCATCTCTATCCTATATATACATCGGTTAGACAAAGAAACAATTCACGAGTGTGCTATATATCATCACCCTTGCTTGACACTCTGAGGATGACCAGTGGCCTCTATGTATGCATCACAGCCCTGTTCACGAGTGAGGGAGCGAACTTTTTCAACCACGTCACAATGAGAAGGATTGAGAACCACATCAGCTCCACATTTCTTCGCCACCTCCAGCTACAGCATGCGTCACAATAGACAAAAATAGAGAGGAGAGAAGGGAGTAAAATAAAGAAAGAGAGAGAGGGAGGTTCAACCTTCCAGTCATAGAGATCAAGAGCAATAACACAGGTGGGATTCTTTAGCTTGGCTGCAGCCACCATTCCCAATCCAAGCGGCCCACAGCCTGCGATTACCACGGTGTCCCTGAACTGCACTGAACCCAGCTCCACTGCATGCACCGAGCAGGCCAGCGGCTCGATGAATGCTGCCTGCCACGCTGGGATACTCTTTGGTACCTGCAGCACACACACAGCATCATAACCTCGGTGGCTTACGGTGCTTCTGAATATGTACCTTGTAGTTTATGGCTCCCTTTGGGAATTTCATATACTCTGCAAATGCACCTATACATACACAGTGTGCTTTAAAATAGACAGACCATTATTATACACTTTCTCTCAATGCTAACCGTGACATATCTGATGCCAGCCATACACATGATGGGGAGCACCTGAAAAAGTTTAACACTGAATTGAAAACTACGTGTGGATGACTTCTTTCTCCCTCACAGAGATGGTATCTTCCTTGCAGGCACTGCTGACAGTTCCAGCAGGGAACTATGTTCTCTGAAGTTGCATTGTCTCCTATGCTCAGTCCATACATCTCTCCTGCACCTGCAAAACAAATCAGCATCTACAATACTCGCCATATTTCTGGCGTAACTTTTAGTGCAGTAATAATACCTTGGCCAAGTTTGATGACTTCTCCTACAAATTCATGTCCCTGGATCATGGGAGGCTCCACGTAGCATGGAGTTCTGTCATCCCCTGTAAATATCAATGATCTTCACAGTACACTCGTCATTATGGATATATACCCCAGTATCTTGCAGCTCCCGCGTAGCATTTTGCATCACCTGCGCATATTCCAACTGCCAGAACCCTTACCAGAACCTCTCCTTCCCCCACGTCAGGCACAGGTCGACTCCCGATCCCGTACTCTCCTGGACAGACGAGGAAAGTCAGACCCAAAAGAAAATTATCAGATGACGGATGGCAAAATGTATAAGAGAACTACTGCTGATTTTCTGGAATGTAGCCCACCTTTAGATCGGCATATGAAACACTTCATTTCATCAGGTAGAGCTGCTGTAGAACCGTTCATAGATTGAGGACTCTACGCGTAGGTACCGGTATATTATAGGCATATAGGTGTACGTACGTACGTGTGTGGGGCTCGTATTTTCACGCATGCGCAAATAATCCAATACGTGCGCGCGCCTCCAACGCAAAATAATGGGGGGTGTGGCAGGTTGATGATCAAGGAAGAGAACGACGAACGATTGAAATAAGCAAAGAAGCTGAGCCACTTCAGTGCGGTTGGAGCGGCTACAGTGTCAGGATTACCCACAGCATCACAGTGTAGCACAAGAGAGCAATGTCACAAGGTTAGTAAGCCATACGGCGCGAAGCAACCTTTGGTCTCGCTGGCCACTATAACGATCTGTACGTGTAACAGATCCGTCCACGAACGCCCGGTGTTTACTTGCAGATCAGGTGTTACTGACTACTTATGGAAGTAGACACATGCTGTCAGACCTGCAGTAGTCAGCCTAGCAATTGTGTAAAAATCCTCGCTCTTGGTAATTAGCTAGCTAGCTATAATTTGTGTTTACGGCGCCTGGACACCGGCCTTATCGAAACAAGCAGTTTACCTAGTTTCATGGTCCGTGACTCCCTCAAAGCGCCTACTATTCCCTTGCTAACCACAGCTGCCAGGAAGAAGCGTGTCCCACCAAGTGTGTTATGCTATATAGTTTCGCGGTTTCCTGCATATTGACGCATCGGTGTATATATAGTAGTTATGCATTATTAGTTAGTTTTAGGCTTCCTCGAATATAGTGTAACTTCCTCTGTTACCTATCGTCACGTTCTTCTCTTCCCCTTCCCTTTGACTTCCTCCTGCCCAGACAATAAAATGCATGGCGCAAGTACTACTCATAAATTGCATGATGTTTACTGCAACTGTACAAATGAATTTTTACATAACTTTTCTCTGACTCCCAGGAAATAGTCAAATGGCCAATTCGTCGCCGGCCGACACAGAACTAGCGATGCAGAAGATATCCCATACCTTTGGGTTCCTAGTCTCCAAAATCCAGCAGTGTCTGGAGCGAAAGAAAGTGAGCGTTGAAGATTTCATCAAACACTTGAACTCCGTCCGTGGCGTCGACAATTCACTGATGTACTGCCACAGATCTCTATACCACTCTTCAATGGACCAGATTGAGTCGCAGAGTAGTATCGGTGACATATTCCCTCTCATATCGGGCTACTTTTCCTGGTTCAACCACACACCCGTCGAGAAGATGGTGGCAGATTTCTGTGCCGGGGACGGAGAGGTCAAAACAACGTACCGAGTTTTCAAGTCACAATTTGAGGAATTCTGCGTCAATATGATCACCGAGTGTCACAAGCACGGGTTCGGCTTCGAAAGGAAGAAAGACGCCGCAAAATTCGTCGTCAAATTTGACATCATGGAGAGCGTGGCAAAGGTCAATGAACTCATCGCTCTACGTAACATAATTGCAGTCCACGTAAAAGCTGAGAAGCAATCGCTCTACCTGAGTTCTGCCGAGTGTAACGTCACTATAAGAGTGGTCTTCCTCCTCCCGCTGTTTGTGGCCGAAGCCATGTTTCCACTGACGAGAGAACAGGAAAACACGCTCGGGGATTGTGGCGTGCTTCAAATGGAGTGTGGGAGCTACCATTTCACCAGTCCCGCCTGGAGCAGAGAGAGAGAGGTGAGCAACCGTGTACCCTCCCTCCCACCTTCTCGTGTTATCGTTGGTTGATATCAGATCATAAAGGCATAAAAGTATTACAGCATTCCTGTTGACACTGTATAAATGACAGGTTCAAAAAATCGCATCATGTTTTAAATGTCGATCCAATCACACACTTGCACGTGGGTGCAGACTACGGCTGTGTTTACAAATATGTGATCAAACCTGCGCCTACAACACATGCAACATTATAGAACCTGTGCATTATACTAATTGCAGGAGCTTAGTCAGTCACAATGTTTAATAAACACCTTCTCAACATGGTACGATAAGTGCACACAAATTGAAACTGCATGTGAAAACAAAGTGTAAACTCTCACATATTATGTACACACACAACACACACAGGCTCTCTCTCTCTCTCTCCCCCTCTCTCTCTCTCTCTCTGCAGTCTAGGGAGTCAAGTATGGGACTAGCTGACTCTATGTGGTACATGAGCATGATGACTGTCAGTTCAGGTAAGCCCCTATCATTAGTGTAGACCTACACATTGGAACTCCTCTAATCTGTGACAGAAGAAAACGTCCACAATAGTCAGGTGTCCTTATCTCAGGGTTCAACTTACAAGCAACTATTTTTGGGGAAGGAAAGGTTTCCTTATTGAGTTGTCCTTAGAGGAGTTCTACTGTTGTAGTTCATAGCTCTTACCCCACCCATAGCTCAATATAATGTACAGGTTCCCCTACGGTAGCTAGCCTCTTTGGTTGGCAAAGCCTCTCTCGTGTCTGTTAGCGTCCTCTTTTGCTGCCAACATCAATACGATCTCTCTATACTGAAACACGTGTACTGCACCACACGTGCTTGTGTCCACTTAGACATACCAAGTGGGTTGGTCACAGACGTTTCTGAACAAAGCCAAAAAACGGCTTTTGCCCAAAAAGGCTATGAACCTATACACATGCCGGCTTCGTAATGGCTTCAGGAAGTATAGAGGGGGCATGGTGAATGTAACTCATGAACAGCAGGCATACGTATAATGTGCTGGATTATTTTACACAATGAAAAGATGACAGCAGCGATTATAAATATGCTGAGCGGGCACAATGATGACCGAGTTTGTTTGACCTAACTAGTTGCTAGGAGGCGGAGCTGCTGGTTGCTAGGGAAGTACCAGTAGCTGCCTGACACACAGGAACTAAGACGCATGATGTCATCGCAGACTCCGTCGCCTTGGGAACCGACCATTCGATCCAGCATGTACTCGAAATTTGCTGGAGATGCAGCATAACTGAAAAATAGAGCAGACAAAAGAAACGATGACATTAAATCCCATGTGGCATAATTACAGGGGCTCACCCAATAAAGAAGAGGCCCGACTCTCCAGTGACGGTGCCGTAAGGCTGAGAATGACGGACTATTTCAAACGGTTTGTTTGTTGGTGTTGTGGTCCCTCCGACCATGCGAGCTACGTGGGCCGAGACAGACTTTCGAGATTGCTCGATGCTGTCGGCTTTTGAGCGACCAATCCAACCCTCCAGTGTTCGGTCTGCAGGCAAGAGAGAAACAGGGGAAAGAGGAGGGGAAGAAGAGGGAGAAGATGGAGGAAGAAAAAAATTAGGTATTAAGGATGTGGCGAATGCAACACTATCATTGTGGAATTAGTAATGAATGAAGGGTCACCCAAAGCTCCATTCTTCCCCAAGACAGCAGTCTGAGGAAGCCACTCTAGAACACCTAATGCCATGTGCATGAAGAGAAGTGAGAGAGTTTTCACCTTCGCCGGAGGCTATGACGTCGTGCTTGTGGATCCATCGCTGAGTGATGCAGTAACTCCCTCCACACTTGTCGCTCACCGCTACTCGCACCCTATCATCCTCCTCGGCCGGATTCTCCGTACCTGCACAAGATATCACATGACTCTCACGCAAGGTCACATGATGATCATGTGACTCACCGTCAATAAACCCGGAGAGGTCTCTCCCGTCCTTGTACTGCCAGCCATAGATGTCTTCAGCCTTGGCGACGGAGCCCGGGGGGCATGGAGCAAACGAGCAGTTGAGCCAGCTCCCAGAGATTACTGTAACTGCTGCTCTTTGCATGAATAAATATGTCCCCTCCTAATAAGGTCGAAGACAAATATAGCACACTCACCAAAAACGTTAATACATAGTCACAAGAATAAATACTCTATAGAAGGAAACATTGGTTGGTCAAATTTTCTGCAGTTTTCCATACTTTACATAAAGAATATCAAAACAGTACACAGCCTTTTACTTTCTCCCCTTTTTCTCTAGTCGATGTGCAATAGTTCTGCTGCATGGGCTCACCTGTACTTGGCATATCTCCCAGAGCCCCCTTACGATGGGGGTAGCTGTAATTTTCCCCCACCCCCCTTCCCATTCGTGACCTGCTTGTAGAAATTTGGACCGAACCCTACGCCTGCCAGGACTTCATCTTCATCATCTGGACTAGCACCTGTGATGCCAGCAACTTTATCCTGAAAATGGAGTAAAACACTTAGATACTGAACAAGGGAAAGAAAGGGAGTTGATTTTGTAAGAAAGTGTGTCAAAGAGAGAGAAGATGGTGAGTTTCTGGCCTACCTGGAGAGTGGCGACAATTTTTGCGCATTGCTTCACGTCGGCTTCTGCAGTCACGTGTATCCATAGATACAGCGAGTGAGTCTTGTTTTCTGCACAAACCTACAGGAAAAAGGTGAGGGGAGGAAGGTCATACAGTATAGGACTATAGGAAGTATCTATTCAGCGAGCCACAGCTTGAGGTTGCAAGGAGGATGTCCGTTTAAGTGGCTGAATCAACGGAGTGTATTAGCAGATACAGGGTGATGCAACATTTGCGAGATTATTGCACATGACATACAATGAACAGAGGAAGACGGTGTTATAGTGGGTGTATATACTCACGGAAGGCTGATGCGCGTGAACGGCGGCTTGGACGGCGGGGGAAAACGTCGGACTGCCTTCTCTGTTGAACGCTATGTGGCCACCATATATCATTGCAGACCCAGCCAGAAGAGCACCAACGCTAACTCCCACGCGGCGAAGACTTGTACTCGTTCCAGTCGCCGAGTATCCTCGCCCTGCAAAACAGCAAGACAAATTTTCGTGACCCATGCTCGCTAGTCGCTACAAACTGCAATGCATCGCCGAGTAGCGTTCCGGCAGGCGGATCATACCTCTGGCCTGTAGCGCTAGCCCGAGTCCCGGCGTTGAATATTCTGGAGCCGCACCGTGCGATCTACTCAGGGACGACATCG